CTATTAGTAATATCTAGAAGTTTCTTATATTAGTAAAAATATATAAATAGCTTAAGTTTCTAAATCTAGCTAATAACTTATTTAGCCTATATAAGTGAGCTTTAGTATAAAGATAAATAAATTATATAGAGAAAGTATAATACTTAAATAAGAGCTAAAGTAATAGAGGAATTAGACTATAGTAGAATCCGAAATTTAATAATAGTTCGAGTAAGAACTAAAAGAGCTTATAATTACTAATTAGATACTTTATTAGGATTTATAAAAAAGTATAATAGTAGTAGATTATTTTAGAAGTAATATATATAAATATATTTATATAGTAAATAGAGTAATATTACTAATAAATAAGTTAAGGGCTAGATTAATATTAAATAAGGGCTCTAGTAAATTAGAGCCTTTACTATATCCCGTTATATAAGGTTATACTTGACTTCTAAATTAAATTGAATAGACTTTGGCTAGCTAAATTAATTAATTGAAATAGGCTATATAAAATAAGAATACTTATAAAAAAAGCTATAATTAATTTTTAATATAAATACTAAAGCTTACTCCCGAGTTATTATAATATAGCCTATACTAATATCTTTACTTAGTAATAGGATAATAATCTTATACTTTCTATTTTTGGATATACTAATTTATTATTTAAGATTAGGAAGTAAATAGGTACTAAAATAGGATCCCTATATATAAAAGCATTTAAGGCCAGATTCTTCTTTTAATATTTCGAGTAACCGGTTTTGGCTCCTATATATATAGTACTTATCTATTTTATCTTACTAGAGCTTATATTATTTATATTAGTAAAGAAAAGTATAATAAATTATTTTAACTAGTTTTCTAGACTTAAAGAAATAGCTCTAACTAACTAAAAATGCCTTTATTTAGTCTAGAAGCGAGATTTCTCTAATATTAATTATAATAATCTATTAATAAGTATATTATAACTCGTTTTATAAGTCTAGTTATTTCTTAAAAATAGAGAAAGAAATATCTTAGTTAGTTATTATTAGTTTAATAGAAAGGAGAACTTGATTATTAGCTTATAAATAATAAAACAAATATTATTACTAATATACTAATTATTAATATAAGTTGAGATTACTTTATAAAAATTAAAAAGATAATAAAAGGATTTTCTTTTTCTAATATTTAATATAATTTAGATAGTTTAGCTAGAGTGAAATTGGTTTAAAGAAAGCCCTTTATACTAGGATCTCACTAAAAGTCCTAATAATAACTTTTATTTCCCTAAATTTCTCTATATCTAATACTAGTATTCTTAATAGACATTTTATAATCTATAAGAAACCAAAGGTACTTAATTTATATTATCTCAAATTCGGGAACTATTTCGTAAAAATAATAGTACTATTAATTATATAGAACGAAACTAGGGTAAATAATTACTATATATAAGAAGTCTAAGAGATATAAAGATTCTATAGTATTATATTATAATAGCCCTTATTTATTTAAGTTATAATTTATATAAATCTGAGCCTATAAAAGAATATTAAGTTATTTTAAAGAGATTAGTATACTCGATTATAAGACTAAGATATAGTCGGAGTAGATTTTCTTATTAGACCTGGCCAGGTTTTATATAAGCTCGGAGTTTAGCCTATACCTTCTTATATTTCTATTTAGCCTTTAATACCTTTATATATATATTCTTTATTTATAAAGGAAACTAATCCTGAGATAAGAGTCTTAATTTAATTCGGGCTTTTTCCTTATCTAGTTTTTAGTACTTCTTTTTATACTAGTCGAAATTATTATTTTTCTTAAAGCCTTAATAAATAAAGAGATTATTAAAGATCTTTTAGAAGTAAGAGTAGTCGGGCTTATTATTGGAATAAAGACTACTAGTATAATCAAAGTAGGTAATAAGCTATAAATAAAGCTTTATATTTAATATATTTATTGGATTTAGGCAAGTAGTATAGCTACTAGAAAAGTAAAGTAGTAAGTATTCGAATAATTCTAAGTTATAATAATAAGATAGTTCTAAAAAGTTAGTACTAAGTAATAATAGGGATTTATATATAATATATACTAACTTCTAAAGGTCTATTAATTAATGGGCTATTTATTTCAGGTATATATATATAACTAAGTTTAAGGAGATAAACCTAATTAGAATACTTCTTATAGCCTATAGCCAAGCTATTAGACATAATATAGTAGAGGAAGTAGGGTTAGCTATAAGCCTCTTCTATATAGTAAATGAGTTAATTAGTAAGAAAGAAAATAGTCTTTAAGGTAAACTTGCAGTTATAAAAATTATATAAGTTTTCTAAGCTAGGTTCTAGAAGATCTATAACCATATACCTATAGCTTTTAAAGGTCCCGAAGTAGTAGACAAATAGGATACCGATACGATTGTTGATTTGTTGTACATTTATTCTATTCTACGAATCTCTGATGAAGTACTACCAGTTGGTGTCTGGTCTGAATTTAGTAACAACCTCCCATGCTTTGAAAACACTAGTGTCCTCTCGTTAATATCTATCGCGAAGGGCTATCAAGATGATGCCCTAGTTCGGGTCATTATGTCTTCGAGAACCTCTCGCGCGGGAAATTGTCGAAAGAGAGTATGGGCTTGGATTTCGAAATCCACGAAAGCTTCGGGTAAGAACCTAGGTGATGTGCAAGGGTATCCTATCGACTTGAAAATGTTTTGATTGGAAATGGCGCCTGAGTTTCGCCCACGTCCCGTCGAGGATCTTGGGTCCACAAGTGAGGTTGGCGATTGCCTACTTATTAGCTAAGATTTGGAATTGTTGGCGAATCAATAGTTGCATGAGGGCGACACCATAGAGCAAAATCCGAAAACAGCATTGTTGGGAATATCTTTCTTTGTACAGTAACTAAATGCCCAGCATGATCAAGTGATGGAAAGGTGAACGTGGCGGAGAAAGCATTAATGGATACTACGCAGCCGTACTAACAAACAATTCCACATATCATCTGACGAGAGGACAGTGATCAAACCCTAAAATAGATTAAGACTCTGACTTTGGAACCTAAAGCTTAGTTAGAAGGACTCCGGCAATCCCGGCAATAATCCTAAGTTCGGCATTGCAACATCTTGTTGGAGCCGCTCCATTTCCACTCGAACTCGAGGTCCCATTGTTCGCAGTTCTATCATTACTTGCGGGCGAAGGCGTCTTTGTGGCGGTTGTGATAGCAGTGGCGCTAGCCGTCGTGGCGGTCGTGCCACTTGCGGTAGTTTTTGGATGTACCGCAAGTGCATCCGTGAACCCGAAGCTAGTTCAGAGGATTAAGCTTCATTCCTTCTGAGCTGGTCGAAATCAAGGAGCAGAATGTGTCTGTCTCATTTCCAAATCTGTGAAAAGCGTAGCAAGTGACACACTTAGCATTGTTAGGACGCCATAGAAATTTAAGGAAAGGGGAACCTGCGAAGCTTAATTCTTACCGGTGTGATATGCGAGAATGCAATGAGACAGATGAGAATATAGAGTGAGTTCCTTTGTTCACTTGTAAGATCAACTGCTCGAACGCCACGCGAACAGGGACTATCAACCATTTTAATACTATGGCCAGCACTTCTAGATTTGCTGAAGGGAGGATTATTATTAGAGGCGAAAACAATGAGTGAGAGGACGCAGTATATAGAATAGCAACCAATTAATTAGCATAGCTGCCACGGCAAAAATCAAGACATGAAGTGGGACGTGTCATCCTTGGCAACATAAGTTTTTTTCTTTGAGCATTACGTACACTCATTTCTACTTATTGCATCTCAAAGACGTAGGACAATAAAGTTGACGAGTTGCTCCTCTTGGCAACGCAAGGTTTTCCCGCCAGCTTTTTGGTATGCCATTCTCTCTCCCCTTAAGGGAAATGGCTTTGCATTTCGCCTCGATCAAATGATCTTTACACTTACTTTCACGCGATCAAACTTCATCCTAATTGAAGAAAATGCAGTGTCTGGGATGATGTGGTGACAGCACATTCTAAGAGATTGGAATGTCAAGTCACTTTAAGTCAGTTCCAACCTTAAGCGAAGGCGCCCCTTTTCAATCGGGCGGTGCCGAATCTTACTTCAACAACACCACTAGAAACAGTGTGTCAAAAATGTAACCACCGTAGTCAGACTATTCATGAATATTCGCGATTATCTTGATGCTCAATAGTTTGATTAGATTAGAATATATAATTATGAATATCTTTGATTACTTAACACGTGACTTTGGCACGTGATACACTGGCCTGGTTAGGTAGGGGCTCCGCACTCGTGAGTCGCGTTGCCTCGCTACCTAATTAGTGGGAAGGAGAGTCATCCAAATATTGTGACGGTAGTAATATTTCCCTACTAAGGCGATAGCAACAGATGGAAATTCAAGTTCGATAATACCCTACGGATTATTTTTGTTCCTGCGGCCTACTGGAACAAAGTCCAGCCCCCTCGAGAAATGTAATCAAACCAACGCCCTCGAAAGACAAACCGCCGTATAGAGAAAACAAGCTTCAACGCCATCTTTAGCAAACGGTCCAAAGCTCACCAGAGTTCGTTAGACTGGAATCATCTCCCGTCTACCCGTCAAGTCTTAAATGCCTTCCCACAGTAAAAGCACCAAATCTGCTGCTGATCCCTCGGCGCATAAAACGCCCTCTTACAGAAACTCCTCGTACAAACCCACCTACGATAATACTCCGCATTACCTTTCCTCTGCATCTGGCTCTGGGTTAACACCCTCCTCAAGCCCCTCACCTGACCCCTCAATTCCTCCTGATTGTAAAAACTTTGCATCTGTTCAATGCTTAGACTCTCGACTCGTCGAGAGAGAGACGCTTGTTCCTCTCTATTTTTGGTTTGCTCGGCGTGGATCTGGTCTTCGAGGTCCCAGGCTTTGGTATTCAGGAGCGCCGCTTGTTTGGAAGCTTGCTCTTCGATGTCTTTTATTACTTGCGCGTGTTGGGTTTCAAGTTCTTTCTGTAACGCCTCGTTCCCTGTGCATCATCAATTATTTTCCACTCCCCACAGAGCGGGAGAACACGAGAGGATTTGAATGGGCGAGATGCTTACCACTCCTCATCGCAGCCTCCATCTCCTCCTTCACACACCTCAACTCCTCCTCATGCTGCCTCTTCACTCTTAGTAACTCTTCGTTGAGCGATACACCCGCATCCGTCTCAATCAGCTTCTTCCCTTCCGCAATCTCCTCCTGCAGCCTTAGCACCGTTCTCTTCATGCTAGCTAACTCGGCCACCAATCCCCTCGCACTCTCTACACTTCCATCATGTCTCCTCACCAAACACCCACTCTTAATCATCGCTCTCCAAAACCCATTCTCCCCATCCATGAGATCCTTCTCCCTCGTCTCTCCTTCAACTCTAGTTACTTTGTCCCACATCGTGGTTACAAGCGAGACGTTATGCATACTTTCTGCTCCGCAGAGTTTCCGGAACATGCGGAGGTTTTTGATGGAGGAGCCGGACATCCGTGGGTCGGAGATGCGGTGCAGGTAGATGATGCCTGAGAGCAGGGTGTGCTGTTTGTAGGACTCGCGCAGCCAGTTGGCGATCAGGATTAGGACGTCGGTGTCTGAACGGGAGGTGTCATCGAAGCCGGGGGTGTCGACGAGGGTTATGTTGTAGTTGCCGATTTTGCAGTGGATTTTTTCAATGTTCATTGTGCCTGCCAGGAGTGTAAGTTGCGGGTTTGAGAGGTATGGGGAGGGGAGGGACGACACGAACAGGAATGGAGGTTATGTCCAATGTTGAGTTTCTGACCTGAGACCTTTTCAATGAATGTTGTCTTCCCTGTTCCTGTCATGCCAAAGACCGCAATGAGAATTTCATCGTTTGGAGACGCAGGGTTGGTGCTTCCTCCCACCGTGGGCTCCGACGAAGGTGGCTGAACTGGGTCGTTTTCCGGATAAGGAAGGGAAGTAGTATTTGGGAAGGAGTTTTGAAGACCCTGTGCCCAGGGCGCTCCCCACCGTAATGCAGGTTGACTGTTCCTCAGCTCCGGCGTCACAGGATAGGGCAGTGGATTCCTCCGTTCCATATTCGCTGGACTCGACACCACATACTCATCTCCTATCTGCACCGGCTCTGCCATTCCCATTCCCAAGTTCGACACCACAGCTTGCAATCCCTCCGCATCAGCATATCTTAGATCTCGAAAAGGATTGCCCGAGCTGCTCAAAACAGGGTTCGCCCCTGAGCTCCACGGATTCAGCGGAGTCTGTAGCGAGACGGGGGTAGGATATGGATTCCAGCTACGAGCCCCAGGGGTCATGGGGGATACAGCTTGAAGACCTTCGGAATCTGGGCTCGAACGAGGAGTGAAGGGATTCCCATTTTTTCTACCACTTTCCACCTCCCTTTTCCCGCTTGCCACTCCCGATCCCATAGAAAGCTTCAAAGGCAAAGCGAGTGGTTTGGGGACGAGGGTTTGGTTCCAAGTCCTCGCAGCTGTTGAACCCGACGGTACGACTTGTAACCCGTCATCTTCCACATGTTGGCTCCCCAGTCCCGGTGGCGATACAAACACCGGTTTGGATGACGACGACGACGAAAACGGATTCTTGCTTGCCTCTAGGATTCCAATCTTCGGAAGATGTTCCTTCGAAGCGGGTTGCGGAGTTGTGATGGGCAAACCAGCACTCATCCGCTCGACAAACTCGTTCCAGTTTACGTCAACCTTGCGAGACACCATCTCGATTCCTTATTCATTTCCCGTCCCTTAAACCGCTCATCTGAAATGACTCGAACAGATTACAAGATGGAGTACAATTACAACAGTACAGAGCGAGCGTGGGAGAGACTACTTGTTTGTTTGCTAAACCAGCACGAACGAAAGGGCTGTGCAAATCAGGCCATGCACGCCTCGCAAGGCGTTTTCGTCATGTGGCAGGCTCTGCAACAGATGTTTGCGCGGCAATGGCTGAGAACCGCGCCTTGCAGATGGAAATGTGGGGTAACCTTAATCCTTCCAATCGCGGCCCGGGGGAGACGGGAAGCTGCAGATGCACAGCCTCATGCTAGATACTACTGAGGTGATGTTTCAACTACTGACTTGGCAGGGACTTCCTTGGGAGAGGGTAAAGAAACACTTGGAGCTTGGTTTGTCGAGCACTTGCCTGCACGGTTGGGATTCACGTGCTGCAGTGAGGATCTGGGAATAGTTCAAGGCACGTATATTCATGATATGCTAATTAATCATTTGACAACTCCGTCCCACCGAATCGAATGTTGAAAGCCCAGTTTCATTACGTGGATTGACCTGGCTATTCCTCGCTATGGAACTCCGGCGCTGAGAGATATGAGTTCTAAAAAGGCTGCCCCATAAAGCAATGCAGATTACCTAGAAAGTAATTGAGACCGTTGGTCGTTGAAAGATCATAACTATTATTCGATTGGTGCGAAAAACCGACTAGCTTCGATAATCTGCTCATCGCCATTCGCGAAGTCCCAGCCGACAATGACGCTGGTCTGGCTGCAGCAAATAATCCTTCTAGCATCAAACTGAAGCTTAAAGACCCGAGCCATGTTGGTTGGTAGATGATGGTGTGGAGCATTGTGGTGATGGTGGTGGCCCGCGGTCTGAGCTGCTGGTGCGGCAGCTGCCGCAGCGGGCTGGGGTGTTACCAGTGTGAGTGGTTGTGAGGTAGTTTGGGTAGTAGCCGATTTAGCTACAGGTGGTGCTGAGGTGGCAGGGGGCTGACTTGTCGATGCGTGAGACGATGAAGCAGCCCCGATTCCCCCGCTAGTAGAAGAGGGAGCAAGCCAAGATGAAGAGTCTGGAAGACCGACTTGAAGTTGCTCTTGAGCTGTCACTGCTGACACTACAACAGCGTCCATGGCTTGTTGGGTAGAAGGGGGCATTTCCTCAATCGATTCAGAAAGATAATCGTAATTCAACATTTGCGGATGAGCCTGTAGAGCCTGGCGCAAAGCCGCAGGACCTTGCGGGAGGGTGATATCGACTAAGTGACGATAGAATAATTCAGATCCTGGCGCGAAGGGTGCAGTGGGTGCGTCGACGTCGAGAGCAAGATTTCCTCTATGGTGAGGTAGCGAAGCAGACTGTGATGGCTGACTTGTAGTGATGTCGTTGCTCCTTCTCGGTTCTTGGACGGCCCTTGATGCCGCATGCGCGGCCTCTTCTTGCCTCAGCGTGTGCTGGGCTCTCCAAACTCCCTCCTTGTCCCGACGCCATATGATGATAGTTTCGTCGTAAGATCCGGAGACGATACGTCCAAACTTACCACCGCCGCCCCCAGGAGGAAGTTTGGCCCCATAGGCTGTGATATCCTCAGGTTTCCGGGATCCAGCATTGCGAGGACGTCCCCGCTGTAAAAAGACGGTTCGAGAAACGGCTCCTGAGTCGACAGCCCTGAAATATTCGTGGTCGATCGCTTTGGCATCCTCCCTGTCCTCTTCGGCACTATAAGGAAGATCACCAAACCCGGCTTGGACGGTTCTGACGAGGTTTGAATGAGCTCGAAGACTTGCCACTTCAAGACCAGACTCTTTATCGAACACCTTGACTTCGTTGTCACTGCTGCCACTGACGATCCGGCGTCCGTCATATTGAACACAGGCGATGCCTTTTGTGTGACCAATCAAAGTTCGGATACAAGTCTGCTCCGGCCAGTTCCAGACCTTAACAGTGCGATCCCCAGAAGCCGAGACTACTTCATTGCCAAAGATCTGAACTGCGTTGACTGCGGCGCCATGTCCTTCCAAACAACCGATCATGGTGTATGGCGGTTTAATGGGTAGACCGGCATTCGGAGAAGGGTTGTAGCCCCAGTTGTTGAGAGAAGTCGCAACTGGATTAACACCTTGGGAGATGTCTGGATAACCCAGATCTCCTGCCATCAACGGTCTCCGATTAAAAATCTTGATTGTCTTGTCTTTGGAACACGTCACCAGTACTCTCTTATCAAATCTCACATTGAGAACGGATTCTCGGTGCGCTTTCCGGAGCCGTTGGATTATTTGGCCTGTAGAAAACTTCCAGAGAACGACGGTAGCATCACTACTGCCAGACACGATAAGATCTTCCTCCGGATCCGCATCGAATTGAAGGCACAAGACTGAACCGATGTGTGCCCGCAGCGGCGGTCGGACTAGCCGTTGCGTGTTCAAGTCCCAAATTCGCAGAGTCTTATCTCGGCTTCCACTGACCAGATACTTGCCAGAGTGTTGGATGGTATAGATACATTCTTCGTGTGCTTCCTCTGGATGATGGGGGTGCGGTAGCTGGAAATTGGTGTATTTTTCTGCCTCCCAGTTTGCCTCCAACCTTCTTCGTTGGGAGTAGAGGTACTGCCAGTTCAGTTTCTTCTTATTATCGCTCCGATCTACGACCACCAAGGATGAAATGCTGGCCAAAGGAGATGCTGCTTGTGAAGAGAGGGTCGATCCACTAGAGAGCCGCCGACTTGCGCGGCTCTGAAAGGTGCTGGAATGGCGTGCAGGAAACTGGCGAGCTGAAGAAGAGCTCGGAGAGGTCATGGGAACATCAACATTGGTGGACACAGGCTCCTTCGTCATCCGCCCACCAAAGATCGATCCCTGCTTGAGTCCCGCTGTGTCCACATCCACCATCTCCGAATCGCCATCCGCATGGAGTGTTGGCTGAATACGTTGTGGCGTGGCCCGTCTCTTGCTGGCATGCTCATCATCATTCTGCCCGCTCGGTCTTGGCCGCTCAACATTCAAGGACTCCTCGAAGCTCACAACCTCCGATCTGATCACCCGAAAGCCTTCCAGGATGTACAGTTGTTCCCATAGCTTGCGGTCGAGGGCTAATAGCATCCATTCTCGGGAAGCGCGAGCAGTGTTGATCAAGGACACGGGGTCGAGGAAACCGAGGACCTTCAAACACACCTCCGGCGGCAAGTATTGGAAGAAGTTTATATAGAGACGGGGTCGAAGACGTCTAACGATCTCGGCGACTTCAGAAGTAGGTAATAGAGCAATGATCATCATTGCATATTCTGTGTGTTTGTCATGTCAGCCTGGCCTCGGAGGACTCGATATTGCTCAGTTCCGCCCTTACCTGTCCGTTCTTGTACTGTCATTCTGGCTAGGTGGGCCGGCATAGATCCCGACTGCCCAACAGTCAAAGGGTCTTCGCTGTAGCCCTCATCCGGAGGAGATTCCTCGTAGGCCGCCATGTTGTGCGTGAGCTCCGAGGACTCGAGGCTTGCTCAAGGTGCGTAGCAAGGTAGTTGAGGAGTCAATGAATCGCAAACAAACCAGATTTTGACTGGTCTGGGGACAATTTGACGCGTTTTATTTTGTGTGGTATCGTACAAGGAGCAGGACAAGGCTAGAATTGCCGGCCGTGGTGGTTGAAATCGGGCCTCGATTTGCAGCGGCACAACTCCTGAGGGTCGTCTGCTCAATCACCAAGTCCGAGCAATTCTCCGGGCGACGATTCACTATCTGAAGTTGTGACGAAAGGTGGGAGCACGAGGCTGAAGGTGGTGTGCACAGTGAAGTGAATCAGGCACCACGGCTTGTTGTTCTGGCCCCAATCGGTGAAGGCGCAATCTAGGGGGACTTGGGAGATATTGTGACCAGAGAAGAGCTTGCGGACCAGGGATGCGGACCAGGGAGTGGAAGCAAACAGAACAATAGAACAGGATTCAGTGCAGGGCGACCGAGGGCATGGTGGAGTTTCGCAGGAACGACAGTCTGAAGTTTGCATTCCTGGTCGTGGGCGGACCCTTCGACTAAGGCTGCCAGAAGGGGCGAACTGTGCTTGGTCAACCACAGCGACATTAAGGCACAAACACGTTAGTGCCTCAGGCACTAAATAATTTCCATTGCCTCGAGGACGCTTACCCCGGGGCTGGCAGCCAGAAGGGGCGAACTCTGCTTGGTCAACCATACCGACATTAAGGCACAAACACATTAGTGCCTCAGGCACTCAATAATTTTGAAGCCTCGGGCCCCAGGCATAACTAGCACCAAGATTAAGGTTTCCATTCTCCCGCCTTGCCGCTTCCGTGCTAGGCCGCATAGAGCACTCTCAGGAGCATCGACTCTGAGACAACACCAACGACCCACGAGACAGCGGAATAAGGAACGACTGCTCCCCCCACCCACGTTCCATCGCAATCTCTTTTAACGTCGAGTCGAGGTTTGAATGCCGAACCAGAATCCTCACCGACGCAGTATATGTCATCTGTCGGCGTTGCAGGTGCCCAGATGGCCCACGTTCATGGACCCCTCGCCAGGACTAACACGGCGCCAGTGTTCTCGACGAGAAGCGCCGGCGGCAGCATCAGCAGCACCAACGGCCTGCCAGGCTTAGGGCAAACGATGAGCCACAACTCTCGCTCGTCGCAGCTGTCAGGCTCGACGGCATTCACTTCGTCGTCGACGACCTCTTTGTCCTCGATGACAAGCTCGGCCACGCTCGTAGCACCGCAATCAATGGCACAGCCGAATGGGGGCCCGGTAGTCGCAACAAACAATATCATTAACCAGAGAGCCGACGCGTCCCGGTCCCTATACCAGATATGTGTGATGTTGCGGCAACGACTCGCTCAAGTACCCGGGTTCGACGAACATTTGACGGACTCAGATAACGAAGATGAAGGGGAGGAGATGGACCCCGTTTCTTCTCTGTGGAGATGTCTGCGGAAAGGGACTCCGTTGTTGACGATATACAACTCTCTTCAACCCCCGGAACCCCTACGGCTTGACGAAAAGATTGCAGCAGACCCAAGAAAAGTGCCCAAAGGCGCCGCGTTCAAATTCGTTAAAGCGTGCTTAGAAGGAGATCTACAACTGCAACCTGGCGAGTGCTTTTCACTTCAAGACCTTTTTGGTGACGACACTACGGGTTTCGTGAAAGTGAGTGATTCATTCTTCAGGACAGCATTCCTTCGTGGGGTGGTTACCCCTAATCACTCGTCGCTACCCCTTGATTCGCAATATATTTGCTAACGACTTCCGACTTCCAGGTCACCCAAATCATAAACATCGTCCTCGATGCTGCAGAGCAGCGTGGCCTACTCATGACTTCTGAGAAAGGTGATGCAGCTCCCGCAGCCATGCCGGGAGGGAAAATGAGCTACCGAGACCACGTCGTTCGAGAACTGGTGGACACCGAACGCAAATATGTCCAGGATCTCGAGAACCTACACGAGCTGAAGAAATCGATTGAGCAGAAAGGGGTGATTCCTGGAGATGTGGTACACGACATATTCCTTAACATCAACGCAATACTAGATTTCCAACGCAGGTTCCTCATCAAAATCGAAACGACGAACTCTCAACCTGAAAGTATGCAACAGTGGGGGAAACCATTCACGGACTACGAAGAGGCCTTTGGCATCTACCAGCCCTTCATTGCAAACCAGCGGAAAGCAGCCGCGATTGCGATGCGGCAGTTCGACAAGATTTCATTGGCAGAACATCCAGTTGTTGTGGACTTCAATACTTTAGACGGATTTCTCCTCAAACCTATGCAGCGTCTCGTCAAGTATCCCTTGTTGCTGAAGGTATTAACGATAGGCTCAATCCGGTTTGAACTAGAATGATGCTTACGCTCTCGTAGGATTTGCGTGATAAGACCGGTGCTGATGAGCAGACGAAGGAGGATTTGACCCGTGGAATTGAAGCCGCCAATCGAGTCCTGACGCAAGCGAATGCAGCAGTCGATCGAGAATTACGAAGTGAAGCCCTGGAAGATCTCTGCGTGCGCGTGGATGATTGGAAGAATCACCAAGTTGATAACTTCGGGGAATTGCTGCTACACGGGCATTTCCCAGTTGTTACAGGCAAGAGCGATGTGCAGAAAGAAGTACGATCCAATTCCTTTCCCGTCAGAAATCCTACGATTCGCCACAAAGTTCGCAGCAGGACAAAATCGCTCATAGAGAATTTCAACTCGAATTTGATGTTTGCTTTCGACACATACGATTCTCAGTGGGATGCAGTGTCCGAGGCTCCATCTGAACAGGCTTCTCTTGACGAGCGTCATGGGAACCCAGAACCAGATTTGGATCACTTTTTCTCGAATATGATATTCCACGAATTCAGAGGCTCTCACCCTATCACAGGAAATCCCCTTTTAGCAGAACAATTTGCTAACAGTTTGGGCATCGTTTGCCCTTCCTATCAGCAGTATACTATATATCTCTTTGAAAAGATCCTACTCTGTTGCAAGGAAGTCAACCCGAACAAGTCCAAAGACAAGCTTATGGGAGCTCAAAAAGACAAGAAAGACAAGAAGGATAAGAACAAGACCAAGGAGCCGAACAAGAATGCAAAACTCCAGCTCAAAGGTCGGATCTTCATGACCAATGTTACAGAAGTCTTGTCTCTCGCGAAGCAAGGTAATGCTGGTAACTTGAATATCACTCTTCTTTTGCCCAGTTTATTGACCATTTGTAGGTTCCTACACGGTTCAAATCTTCTGGAAAGGCGACCCTGGGGTTGAGAATTTTATCATCAGGTTTTCGAACGAGGAAACGATGAAGAAATGGTACGCGGGAGTCGATGGACAGCGAAAAGAGTATGCCACCTCTTTGACAATGGGTAGCAGTCCAGATGGCGCACCTGCAGATTTTGCTTGGATGCGCGATCAGACCGCCCCAATACCAAATCCTTATGCCGAGAAGGAGGATGATGACGAGGATGATGATTTACCCCAACATAACTATCCACCACAACCATCACAGCCGAACTCCACATATCCGGGACCTGGCATGACGCGCAATCCGTCCAGTACAAGCCTCCGTTCAAGGTCCACGACTGGCGAAAGCACGCAGTCCCTAGCTGGAATTGCCAGAGCACCTCCGCCAAGGTTTCCAATGGGAATGCAAAATCAAGCCCTCAGCCTGCAGACTAATATATCTTCTCAGATGCCTTCACCTAGTCAACGAGGAGGGGATTCGTACTTCTCCCCTGTTGCGGAGTCTCCTGTATCATTGCGAACGAGTACGACATCATCAATGTTCCCATTCCCTCGGCAAGGTACACCACAGAGTGGTTGGGAGGAGCACAATCGATACACAGCACCAGCAATGGCCCGTGCGCCATCCCGAGGTAGCCAGAATGCAGCAGATGCCTATCAGGTGAATGGCCGAAATCCACAAAGGCCTTCACTTCCAGCCATGGGACTGCAGTCATCACAGGCGAGTGTAGCACAACAACGAAGCCGATCTTACAGTACTCCTGACGTCAACGCTCAGAACGGAGGCAGGCGGCTCCCAAACGGTACCATGAGCGGCCAGGTACCAGCAGTTCCGGGAATTCCACCGCACTTGCATCCAGCGTATGATGGAGGCATTGCTCGTTCTGCAAACAACTCCCCAAATGGACTCCCGATGAGGTCCAATACTCAATCACCTGGAACTCAACGAGAACGATTGGCACAATCAAGCCAGTACCCGAACGGAGCACAATATAGCAGGGGTAACACGACTCAACCGCCGATAACCTCAGTTGATGGTCGGACAATGTCTCCTCCGCTTGCCACCTCGATGTCCGGAGACGACGGTATGGCACTCCCAACGCAGCTGAAAGTTAAAGTAAATTGTGATGGCAACTACGTCACCCTCGTTGTGGCATTCAATATTACCTATCAATCACTCATTGATCGAATTGATGCCAAAGTTGGACGGTTTTCAAACAACGCCATCGCTCGAGGAACGATGAGGTTGAGGTACCGCGATGAGGATGGAGATTTTGTTACCATTGAGTCGGATGACGATATTCAAATCGCCTTCCAGGAGTGGCGAGAGTCGCAAAAGCTGCAATACCACACCGGACAACTTGGTGAGATTGAGCTCTTCTGCCTTAGCGTCGACAATTAGCATTGGGATGATTAGAGAGACTTTACATGGGTCGAGCATGGTTACTATGGGACACGATCTATATGGTATTCTTGAGATAAACTACCTCATCCATGGATGAAGGACGACGATATCAACGTTGAGATGTTTGGGAAGGAAAGGACATTGCTATTGTGTGGGTTGTTTTTGCTTGATTGCTCGGCGTTGTCATGGCGTCTATTTCAGAATTATTCCACCGACCGGCGCCGCAGTACAATTTGGGTGTCGGGGGACGGTTTGGCGCACAGCCTTTGAGCATTAGGGAAGATCATTTGCGGGAATTGGGGTTGTGCTTCGGTGATAAACGCGGTGGACAATATAGGGTACCCTCCAAAGACATGCATCTCAGATTTTGGTCAGACTGGTATCTGTACATTGTGATGTCCCTTCTATTTTGTATGCACCTTCACCTCAAGGCCAATACCGCCGTGAAAGGAGTCCTCTGGTGATTGTCTCGAAGTATTTCCAGCCTGAACGCCACGAATGCTCCCACTCCCTCGCAATGCCTACGCTATTTTACAGCTGCCCTGCTCGTCCTATACGCGATACACTCGCCCTCGACCTCAAAATATAAAGTTTGTTTCCTGATCTGATCCACGAAACCTATCAATCACTTCCTCTTTCTAGGTCCAATGATATTCGGATACATCCTCGACAAATGGTAATTAATCGTATTCTTCTTCACCGTTTTCGGTCTCTGCCACCCACCATTATCAGCACATGTCCTCCGTTCCCCCTATCGATACTGCAAAGATCAAGACTTACAGGCGCATCCATACAAGCCCTCAACTGTGTCTCCAACGCTGCACATCCTGCAGCTGTATATCCTGACGATGCCCAGCATGCTGTGATCCCGTCCGTCAGCTCCCAAATCCAGAAGGGAGAAGGGGGAAGGGGGAGGGGGAGGGGGAAGGGAAGGACAAGCATACTCAGCACTGAGCTCATGAGCACAAGGCATGGATTTGCATCTGTTTGGTTTGGTCGTCGGACTCGTAACTTGGGCAGAGGGGGCAGGCGCATCGGCTGCAGCTTTGTGGAGGCTCCTTTTGGCGGCATCTTCGTCCAATCTCCCTCACTATCCCTTCAATCTTCCGATCCTTAGTCAATTGAGTATCGTGTGTTGAAGTGACAGTCCTGTTGAGCTTCCTGATCTCAATGTTCAACTCGTCTTGTGTTTGATGGTTCGAACTATTCTGGCGCTAGTTCAAAAACGGTTTAGTGTCGCTAAACCCCGAAAGTAAACAAACTAAAGCTCGTGTGCCCAACCTTCACGAAACCACCACATCCTTACAATTATTCGCAAGGATATCATCTTTCTTTCCGTAGACGCCAATTTTATGGCTACATTCCACGAATAACAAGATTGATTTTGTACGCATCGAATCGGAAAGGAGGGGAAGCGCAAGTGGATGCGCGTTGTTTTATCCATGGACGGAGAAGGATTTGGGTCGGATGCTCTGCGGAGTGAGGCTTCCAATTGGTATTTTCCCTCTTTTTATATTCTATGGAATGATGAATGGCGAATCATAACTGATGGAAACAGGGAGGTCTACAGAGATGCCTTTGCGCCGCCGGCACCTAGTCGTCGTGTCAAGCCGTGGGAACGAGCTCCGGTCCCAGCTCATGCCCCGCGTCTGCAAGGACAGAAAGTGTGGAAGAAAGTCGGCCTGAAAGCACGTTCTAAAGAAGGTGCTGAGGAGAATATCGGCCATGAGGGTGCACAAGAGGAGTTGGAAAGAGGGGGTATGGGGGCACGAAAGCGGGCGCGGGTGACGGGTGGGAATAAGGAGAATATCTCGGACGCGCCGTGGAAGACGGGGCTAGTCGACAAGGAGAATGGGGGGAATGGAGGGAGACTTGTGTCCCCGAAGAAACAGAAGATGTCCATGGGGCCTGGTGATATGGACGCGTTGGTGGTTCCGAGGAAGAGGACGAATGCGAATCATCTTATTACGCCAAGGAAAGCTGGATGGAAGATACCTCTTATTGAGCCTACACACGCTACGGCGGTCGCTCCAAGTCTACCAGAATCTCTCATTCAGAGTCCTGCAAAGCTGTCGCCGCAGAAGATGCTTCTCAATGCTCACGAAAAAGATCAGGATGACATCACAAGCCTGGCAAAGGCATCCCCACAGAGGATCCCTCTCAATGATCTGGATCAGGGCGAGGATGGAGTTACAGTGCCTGCTGAGAAACCTGTTCGGAGGAGGAAATCTCTTCGACGAAGTACTCGACGACTTACGCGTGGAACGACTCCTGAACAACCCCCTGCTGCTCCAGCAGAAGAATTGGCGAACAACAATGCCTCTGAATCCGCACAACCAGTTCTGGAACCTCCAAAGAAGGATTTAGAAGCTCACGGAGATGTGGCGGTATTGAACGAATCGCATGGTCCAGCTTCTGTTGAAGTCCCTCGCGAACGCTCTGTCCCCATACGCGTTCAAGAACCAGCTTCCCTGGAGGTTGTGGAGGCCTCGAATTCTAAATCACAACCTGAAGCAGACTTCTCTGTTGAAGGTCCACCAATTGCAGCGGTGGCTGTGGCAGGCGGTTTGGGCGAAGAGCCCCTGACTCAACAGCAGGAAGTGATTTCAGAACACACTTCTGGCATATCCCAAGAAGAATCTCCCAAAGATACAATCGAATCTGCAACCGTTGTTGAGGACCCATTCACTGCTGCCGCAAACGAAACACCGAAATCACAGCCCATACTGCTCAACTCCATCGAGGTTGGGACCGAAACTCAGTTCACCTCTCCAACAAAGGGTTCTGGAACCCCAAGACCAAGACGAAAGACCCCGCAACGACAAGGCTCAAGAAGAAGTGCCAGATCGACTCGAGCAAACTCGGTGCCTCCTGAAGAACAACCAGCCCTTAGTGCCACAGAAATTCAAAATTCAAACCCGGCCAGTTCCCCTATCAAGTCTCGAATGGCGAAATCTCCTACCAAGAAATCTAGAAGATCTACAGCTCACCCGACACCGAGGGAGATCATCTCCGCTGAGGCTGCCATGAGCGAAGAAATTGAAGCCGTAACTCCAACTTTCAAGTTCAATGTCGAGACTCAAATCCATACCCAACAAGTTGAACCTACCGAGACCGAGGGTATTACCATTATCCGGCAATCTAGCTCAATTTCCCACTCAGAGGATGTCAATGTTTTGGGACCCACCATTGAAAACTCCTTATCAGGCGCAGACTCTGGAGGTGAAGGTCCAAACCCGGCGATTGCTGGAACTGTGAAAGAGGAAACCCCTTTTGCAGGTGATTTGGATATCCAAGAAGATACAGTTGAACTTGAGGTTATCGCAACCGTGGTTCCAACAGAAGATGAACATATCTCCTCCCGAGTGAAACCCTCGCGACCCGAGGACTCTGCGCAGGCCGTTGAGCCGGCGTCTGACAAAGCGAGAGAAGGATCTGTTGAATCCCTCGAAGTCCTCGAGCCCATCTCAATAAGCACGGAAAAGCTGCTGGAAGATTCAATAGAGGAACCCACCGACGAGCTGCCCGGATCATCCACACCAAATCCTTCAACAACGGAACTCATCGAGACCATTTCTGAGAATACTGCGGCTCATGCTTTTGATCATGACGATACAGATATGCTTCGGAACTTCCTCACTCGTGTCAAAGCAAACAAAGCAGCAAAAGCAAGCACATCAATTCCCAAGAGAAAACGATCATTGCCTCACTCGCCTATTCGACTTCCTCTGGAGAGTATGGACGCCGCCTTGTCTCCCTCTTCGCCAAAGTCCAAGGATGAATTCGATGTCAACTTGCCTGCAGACCTCGCTGCCAAGCGTAAACAGGAAGATGCAAATTTGGACGACGATGAGGGGAGAGAGCCCAGGTCGATTCGACGAAGTGGTCGGACTAGGTTACCGGTGAAAGCAGCTCCTCTCGCAGCTCCCAGCTTCATTCCAGTGCGAAGACTCGGACAGGATGGTGACAATACAGTCACTCTGAGGAGAAATGAAGAAAAGGAGCTTGCAGCATTGACCCGAGTCAATACCCGCAAGAACAAAGCTGGCGCTCAGCTACCAATACAAGTATTGGCGAAGCAAGCGGAAGAAAGGGAAGACCCGGCCTCGCGTCAGCGTGCATTGAAAGAAGCCTTCGATGACAAGGCACAGAAGCAGAAGAGCAGGAAGAAGGGAAAAACTGTACTTTGGGCAGAAGAGCTTGCTCAATTCCAGACCGAGGAAGGGAAGCTGGCAGAGCTTGAAAGAGAACCTATCAAGGAAAAGGAGAAAGCTGCACCGGTTGAAGAAAAGAAGAACGCTGTGAAGCTTGGAGTCAGGAGTAAGATGGCTCTCGGTATGGCTGTCAACGGTACACCCGCACCGAAGAGGAAGATGAGAGGTCGTGCATAATGCATTGCGCGCATATGTGTTTATCGTCAGATTACCTGTTTGAGCGACATGGAGTTTTAGTGTTATTTTTCAGGCATTGTGTACAGAGAATATGGTTTCATGGTTACAGATGCCAAAATGAATCACGTGTAGCATTGTCCGATCCAGAAGGAGCGACCGTGTGTTGGATGTTCTGATTGTGTAACTATCAAAACCGGGTTGACATCAACCCGCGCGGCTGAACCAAGATTCCAACCAAAACGACACATCAGATTTTTTTTTCCCTTTCCCGAATCCCGTGGGGTGCAAATACGCTTAATTTCAATACTTGCCCCCTTTCTGCACGAGCAATTTAAATCGAAGATCCCTCGTCCCGACCCCGTGGGCAAACGCGTCCCAGCAGCAGTCAGCACAGATTTCAGCTGCAACCCCCGAAGGCGAGCAAAGGGCGCAGGCGCCGGATATGCTACTTATCAAGATCCTTGCTCCAATGCAACGGAGGCTTCCGACTGCCGGCATCTCGCGAACGTTTGAATCCCACGATAAGCTTAAACGAAGGATAGGGGCAGTGAAGCACGGAGCAATCTCCTGGATTGGGAGGGAAGATGGAAGGAAGGGTTCCTTTTGCCTGGAGTGCTGGACCTGAGGCGGTTGTGATCATCGGGACCGAACTACCTGCTGGTTTAGGGCAGGATGGCGTTCGTCCACGCAAGCGAATACGCTGTGGAGGGCTTCCCGCCGTGGCGTTGTCAGTTTGTCTGCAGTATGTCTGCAGTATGTCTGCAGTTTGTCAGTGTGGCAGGAGAGTCAAGGGTCACGGCAGTTGGGTGTTAGTGGGGATCAAGACTGGGCTGCTAGTTGTGCTTGGGCTTGGGCTCTTGGGCTTTTGGGCGTTGGATCGACTGCAGTACAGTACATTACTGTACAGTACATTACTGTACTGTACTGTACTGTACTGGATGCGTGCATATATGCATGCATGATGCAAACGCGAATGTTGGTGGTCTCGGTTGGTTGCACCCGCGGTTCACCACGAAGCTTGACGCATCTTTGGCAGGTGCAGCAACACGCAACTTGCAGCCAACTTGGGGTTTTTGAGGAGGAGGTGAATGCATACTCAACCCCCACGCTGGAAGGCTTCCTCGGGGAGCATTGCAGAACGTTCCGGTGGAGGGCCGCCGGGGAAATCCCCCACGCTGTGATCTTGAGCTTTTTGTTTCATTTCAGTTGGACTTTGAGCTGGTTTTCTCACTTCTTGCAAAAGGGATCCAATTACTTGTAAGTTTACACGAAGTACCGGTAACAACTGTTCGAGGTTGCATACGGCACATGCTTCCTTCTCTCACTCACTTCATCCTCCTGTCCTTTCAGCCATTTTCCCCGCTCTGAGTCGTGAGGGGCACAATCCAGTGTCACTGGACGGCCGCTTTAATCGTCTGAATGGATTTGGATACAACGTGGATTCGTGGAAGTACCGCCTGAGGGCAGTCTCCGTCTTGGTACTGCGGAAATTATTGCCATTGGTTGTTGTGAAAGCTGTGGATATAATATGGGCACAGGCATACTCGTAGTTCGGAAGATGGAAATTTCCGGCAAATACTACTTAGGCATTATTGTTTGATGTTGTTTCGATCCGAGGCTTCCATCTCGGACTCACGGAGTTTGTTGGAGCGTCGGTGCTTGAGGCTTGACGGTTGGACGTTGGTTTATGCCGCCTTTGAAGGTTCTGACGGCATTGCCGCGCCGCCAAAAGCCCGCTGCAGTTCATCGTGGGGATTTCAGCAGACCAGGTAGAGGACGGCCCACCTATCAGGATGCGCTGCTCGCGAATCCCTCCAGTCCCCATGGCCGGCCAGTGTCAAAGGATGTGACCAGTGCGTGAAGCGAAGGATGATTCGCCGTGTTTTAAAAATGTCCTCTTTTTGGAATTGCCCCCGATCCTCCATGAAAGTCTCCGAGTCTGTTTCCCCAAACAGTTTGTGTGGTGCAGGCCAGCGGCCGCCGTGCGGTCACTGTGCGGTCAGAGTCCAACAGAGCAAGTCCCAGCTTTAGGATCCATGTGCAAGTCCTGTTGATGAGCCGCTGAAGCGTGGCCGTGACGCAGAAGCTAATGTCTCTGAGCTGCTCGGCTACTCAAACTCCCGGAATGAGAACCGATCTTTAGGCGCGGAGCCAGAGGACGAAGACGTCGAGTAGCGAGGTCAATCGCCTGTACATGAATCATGTTGCAATGTATCCTCCATACCAAATCCCTCCTTCTTTCCCAGACATGAAAGTTGTTGGAAGACACTCTCGCCATGAGGGGCTTTGGACCACCGAGAAGATACAACGTACTTATGAGTGGCCCACTGATCCCTCTCACCTACAGCGGGGGAGCTGCGTCAAAGACAAGCATCCAGCCATTGCAAGGCATGCTTTTGACGACGCTCATCAGCCACGCAAGCCAAGCTAGCCTCATCTGCTGCTCGCAAAAATATCGAATAAAGGATCAGGGCATGCCACACTGTGCCACAAAGTTTTTCCCCACCGTCCCCACCCAACCAGCTCCAGTTTTCAGGCACCACGTCCGCGGGAGCGGATGTCCCACCAGACGGAAGCGCAGATTGGATCCCTGCAATGTCACTTGGCAAGACATTCTGACGCTCAAGACCAGTGGCTACTTGGCTTTCCGTGCATGAATGGCTTCACGCCTTGTCTGGATTCGGGTCTCTGGCCGTCATCGGCGTCGTCTTAACCCAGTTCAGTTCGAGTGGAAAATTGGCCCGATTCCTCTTCTGCCCTTGATGACACGGCCTTACGGAGGAATTTCCAGCGTTGTGGAGTTGAGCAAGAGATTGCGAGCCGCAGATGGGAGTTTGCCAAGGGGCTGGCGTTGAACTTTCTGCCTTTCAGCTGCTCACCTACGACGATGAACACACTGTTGGTGTTCGGGAGTCGGGAGTCGGGAGCAGCCTTGGGCCGCATTCGTCCCGTCGATGGCGGGATTTGGAAGCAGGTGCAGTGCCTCGAGACCAGGGAACATTCAGACTTCCTGGGGAATGAAAGGGAGCCTGTTGGAAGAAGGAACAACCAATCCTTTGCTTTCTTTTCTCAGGGGCACACGTGCTCACAGGCTCCCAACTCACAAAGTTCGAGTCGGCTCTTTGCCAAATGAACATTGGCAGTGGCTGGCTACTGGGGCTGCGTCACAGGCGTCCGCTCAGCATCTAAATCAAGGGACTCATGGCTTCTGGCTTTTGCCATGCTGAACCCCTCTCTCCTCTTGAGGCGTTCCTCGATAACCAATGGCAGGATGAATGTTACGGTTTGGTGGTTGAACATGGATTCTGGAGGCGCATTGATGTGAATTCCATCCAGCTTCCATGAAGCTTCTGTGGTACTGGTGGTAAGCCTGATTCAGAAAAGACGAGGAAGACCCCTTCAGCGACCCGGGGCTAGGCGGTGAGTGTCTGTGACACATCTTCACGATCAGGCCTCTTCTAAAGAGATGTGGAAACTACGCTGTGGACGGTGGAGGCAGTTTCATAGCCTTCAGAGATATGGAACCAGAAGCCTCGAAACGATCCAATAATCTGGCCACTATTAACTTCTCGCATCTTAGCCTGAGAGACGCCATTTCTTACGAGTACGAGTTGCAAGGGTGGGAAACGCGAGTTAAACCGATAATATGGTAATCCTCCGGCTCATCCTCCACAAATATTCGGTTCCTTGCGACATTTCTGAGCGCTGACGCCAGCGTTGCAGAACCTTATTATTGCTCTGGGTCGGTCCTAGAACCGCGAAGGTCCCTGGTCTCCGATCCTTGATCTCCGAAGCCGCTGCTATCAGACAAAGCCTCGGAAGAGGGCTGCAGCCTGTCTGGCCTCTGGCGACCTCGTTCCGCACTTCCATTTTTGCTGCCTCGGGCAGCTTGTTTACCATCTTTGTCCAGCTTTACATACAAACAAGCCGTGGTAACTCGCCAGAGACGACCCTGCTGGCCAATCTAACCTACCTTATCTCGGGCACTAATCTATCAGCACACAAGTCGCTGAAGAGGTGGCCCAACCGTCAAAGGCTTGCACCACCCCTTAGGCCACCTCGCAACGGATTTTCAGCTGCAGAAGCTGGTAGAGCCCAAGACATTTCTATTGGGTTCTTACAATTTGAGTTCGGACCATGGCAAACAACATACGATTCCAGCCAACAAGATGTCCAAGTGCGAGAGCTAGAGTGGAGATCATGCCCTTTAGTGCTAAACTTTATCCTCGAACAGACTCCTGTGCCTCGAGAGGTGGGGGGTTGCTGAGGCGTCCTCGACGGGGCAGCCGAGTCATCACTAGCAGTGATACATCGCTGGGCTCTACTACTGGGGGCCAAACTGCCCGAGTCAAGAGCGATGCGGGTTTGCGATGCTGGCTGGGTGGCACTCTGGGGCCTTCCACGTGCGACGTTCCTTTGCAGCCAGTGAAGCCGCCATGGCTCGGGAGCTTCGAGGGCACCCTGGAGGGCCTGGGTTCCTTGGTGCTTTAGTGCAGATGCAACGCCGGCATTATCGCTTGGCTCTTCGCATCCCTGTCGTGACTGAATTACGAGGGGTTTTTAATACCGCGACTTGATCGAAGGCCAGTCCTGAGTCCTCCCATCCCAAATGACCTACCCCGGCAGAGGGAGACCACAGTACACGGGTCCACCACCCTGGTGGAATACGCCTGGCCCGAATCCACCAGGTGGATCCATAGATCGAGGGGTGCATACCTCCGAAGCTTGTACATATGTAGTGGACCCTCCTACAGTTCTGGGCCGATAGTTCTTTGCTTATATGCATGCACATCCTCCCCTCGCCTTCTCGACCCCACAATCACAACTGCAACTACTCGAACGGATCTCGAGACTTCTCCAGCACAGCTCTTGATTCAACTGATTATTAGAGCGGTTCTAGTCGACTTTTCTAAATCAAATATCATTCATTATATTTATATTTTTACTCCAATACTGCGGCCTCGGAACTTTTCTTACAGGAAGAGAAAAGTCACTCCGCCCCCGCTCACATCTTTCTCGGCTCCACACCTACTTCTTCACGTCTAAGTCACTCGCTCAAGCAAAGCCTTCTCAGCATCATGTGCGATTACACACAAGTCGAGTTTCGGTGCGGACACGTTCGATATACAGTGAGAGCTTGGTGTACCAATTATGAGACGACACATAAACGGTGCCCGCCTTCGGTGGTTGCAATCGAGTTTAGGTGAGTTGGCAATACAACCATGACTTCTACAATATCATGCAATGCTGACGATGTCGTACAGATTAGATGAACGGTGTGGTTCGTGACCCATCTTAAATGTCTCGTCTATTGTGATATCAGACTCTAACTACTTCCAGGAGACTGTCGGGCGCCAGCTATCCATCCCAGTTGGATGACGCGCCAAAATAAGAACACGCGAATCCAAACATAGAGCGTGGCCAGATAAAGAACGAGCTAAATCTAGAGTATGGCAGGTGAGCTGCACAGCGAAATCTTGGTGTCAGATCACACCTCTGGGCAACGGCGTGGGAGTTCCATGGAAGGGGAACGCGGTGTTCAGGACTGGGAATAAGTGCTGGGTCTTCTTGCACGTGGGGGTTACTTGGGCTCACGATCGGGGCGCAGGAACGGTTTGCTGTATGTACATGGATCATTGTATTCTGCTTTTTCTGTCTATCTCACCGAAGTTCTTCTGTTCTTCTGTTCATCTTATCGACAACTTCGTGTGGCAGTACAATGTAGAACCTACAAGGGCCACTTCCGAAGCTCTCTACGCTTCTTAAGCGCCTCGCAGCCGACAGAACCGCCAGGACCGCAACTTCCGCCAAGAAAGACCCCTCGAGTTTCGATCTGCATTACCTGCGTCCTTGCCATGCGGATCGAGGTGGGACAAGATACCGACGCTGCAAGCCGTTAGCACGAGTGTCACCAGAATCCCGGGAACCGGGTAGAGATGGGAATACGTGTATGCATCACAGGCAAGATTCCTACCAACAGGAACGACATTAGCAGGAAGAGGAAAGATTTGCAGTCCACCTGTTCACCATGTGCAGGTTTCCCGCCTATTGCTTCCCAATCTATAGTCAGTCAGCTCGATTCCCAAGCTCACACGGTGCTCAAAAGCCATCAACAAGCAAACAAAACAATCTGGAAAAACAAAAAGCCCTCAAATCTCCTCACGCCTGTTCCGCCGCCAGCTCTCCCTCACCATTCAGTCCACTATCTCCATCGAAGTTGGGGCTGCCGAGTGACTGATTCGAAGGCGCGTTGCACAGAGTTACACAACATTAGACGGCACATCACCAATGACCAGAAGTCCTGGATCCGAGGAAACCGGCCATCTTGGAACCGGGTCGGATTATTCCTGCGGTGCCAATCGTCTGGTCAGGATCCCGAGAGAGAGCGGGGCTTTTCAATGCAAAATGGGTTCTCTGCTGCTTCTATGGCTTCCAAGTTTCCGACAACTTGTTTCGCAACACGGTTGCGTGCTTCTGCGACGACGGAAGGGAAGGCAGGAGATGTAGCGAGTACAAAATATGGGACGGGAGTGCCGTCGGTGACACTTATTCTCGGTGCCCACCCGATATAGCATTGTTGTTGAATGTATGGAATATATGGCCCCGCAAGAGGGAGCGGACTCCTCCATATGCGCGGGCCATTCCAGGTTCTTGGGAGGCAGTGGCTTGTCCCCGTGTTACTTCGCGGGTAGCCCTTGCAAGTTAAAAAGTGATGCATCACTTTTATATCTGAGGATGTCATCATGCTTACAGACCAAAAACAAGAATCTTGGGACTGGAACTGGGACTGGAAATTCGGTTCTCGGTATGCTTTTCCTTGATCAAAGCTCTGGTTTACAATAACAGATAGAGATGAGCAAAGATTCATGACCGATGAAATATAATGAGATTCTTGAGATGGGCGATACAGCAGAACCTCGATATAACTATTGCCTCGGGACCGAGAAAAATTAACGATATCGCGAGGATATCGTTATATTCTGGTGAGACAGGGGTTCGGGACCGAAAATATCTAACGATACAGCCAGGTTTTTGTATGGGGGTAACAGACCAATCATTATATCGAGTATCGTTATATGGAGGTTCTGCTGTAGTGGATATCAAGTCTCAACTCAAAGAGTCATTTAGAATGAATGTTACCAGAGAATGCCACTGTTGTGGTTGAGGGGTTAGATCAAAGAGATGGGAGTCCACGTATTGCAAAAGTCGATGAGCCGTCAGTCGTTGGAAAAGGAGAGAGCAGTGGACGCAGATTGCCCCGCTCCTGGTCGGTTAGATTGGATATTTTCAGAAGGACTTTCGTTGCTTAGTGCTTACGCTGGCGATTCCGAGTCTACGGTCGACCCGTGGGCTGTGTCAGACACCTGAGTGGGATTGTTTGATGCTTTAAACGTTCACTGCAACTGCATGCACGTTAATGTTAAAAAATGTTTCCGTGCCGCCTCTGTGCTGCTTGTCACGGCACGGCGAAGCTCCAAAAGCGTTTGTCGACGAATGTGAGACATGCAATGTTTGATGAATTGGAGATCATTTGCAGGATCGTTGAGTGTCGTGGGCTTCGGTAATAAAGTTCCAATGTGGCAGGATTATGTTACTCCATCATGATATCTACCAGTTCTAACTCTTGCTCGTATATGCTACCCAGCCGTGTTTGCTGTTCTATCAATGCCTAGACCTTCGCTGCTGTCGAGACTTCGGCGATTCGGCGGAAAAACCTGCTTTCTCTCCCGTGAAAACAAGAGGCATTGAGCGTGGTATAGCTTGTACTACCGGGGGTTACGAGTTGGCCAGTGAGGTTTCGGGCTGGCATGTATATCCCGTCGGCTCTCGAATCGGTTCACGTCAAGTAGTCGGACCGCGCACCATGTTACGATCTCCTGATGAAGAGCATCTTCGAAAGTCCTTTGACTTCATTCGCGCATCGAATTCGTCTTGGGCAGGCCTCGACCGTTGCGTCTTCAATGCCTCAACTTCAGTCCGTGGGCGTTGTCGTCCCTCGAATCTCGATCGTCGCAGCATCAACCAGGATGGCGATGCATGGGTACCGGCAGTCAAGCTAAAGGAAGGGTTGATGGCCTGGTGGCCAGATACCTCATCAGTCCTCCTGTTCTAGAACCTGCCCATTCAACAGCCTCGTTATTCTCGTCTGTAGACTACCGCAGCTGGTACTTGGCCGACAGGGGCAGATAACCTCCGATCATTGGCAGCGGCGGGGCAAATATCAGACTGGTTGAACTTAGATACTCCACCGGTGACTGCTTGCACCGGGTGAGCCAACAAAAGAGCAGCAATCTGTTCCCATGATTCCTCGTGAGTAATCTGCCCAGTAATCATCCTCTCCTCTCACCATTTGTCGAAGTTCGGGAGCTGAATTTCCGCAATCCTTCACAGCGGGTCTTCTCACCAGCCAATACATTCTCTTCCTTCTATCTTAAAAACGCATTGGCTCCCAATTGTCTTTAGGCCTGAACCAAAACCCCGCAAAAGTAAGGCAGCCATTGGACCCCGTAAAGACTTTCTAGTGGAGGGGAATAGCACGTCTCACATATACATCCATTGTCATGTGTTGCTGGTGATGGCCTGCTCCGACATCCTCAAGCCTTCTCACTTTCGGCCAGCACCTAGATTCTCATGCAAATGCATTGTAACCACGCTATGCGGTGAACTAAGTCCCCGAGTGGAGGAGATTGTTTGCATCCGTGTGAGAAGTGGGTCAGGGTTCTCGTCATGACCCTGATGGATTTGGATCGAGTTGAGGCACCAAGAGGCCTCAGGAAGATGCAAGATCGAGATGCACGTGAAGAGATCAATTACTCTTTTAAACCCCCAAATTTTGCCTTGAATTAAACGGGTATGTTTCTATGAAAGAGTTCCTTGGCCGCAGAAGGCCCTTTTATCACACAATACTAAAAGTTGGCAATTGCAGCCTCGTAAATTCCCCCTTTAATCGACCTATTCAGAAATCACAAGACGGTGAACACATCAGAGACCCACCAACTGAGGAAGTTGGTGCCTGTGGTAATTATTACCAATCATAGAGTTTGTATCACAGGTTGGATCTCAGGTGATCGCTCTCGGGAGTCCTCACCGTTTGTTATTGATGGAACCCAACCCCCACTGTAACCTGAAATCGAAATAGAACACAAATCCCAGAACTCCTGAGAAACGGGACAACCGGGACTTGCCATGGGATATCGTGTCGATCACAGTGGAGAAAATGCCCATTTCATCCATTCATGAATCCCTGTCCCAAAGTGGCAATAATGAAGCCAAGATGAACATTACGCAAGCCCAAGCTGCCCAACGATCCCGATCATCTTCGATCCCGCAGCCCAAGTGGGCGAGATCAAGCAATGGGAAACCTGTAGCACCTTCTCTTCCACTCAATTCTGCCCTGAGCTGTTATCTAGTAATTTATTTGCGTCCGTGTTGTTACTGTAACACAATGTCTCAATCATCAGCACCGAGCAACACTTACCGAGAACTTGCTTTGTTCAGAGCCGTCCCCGATAATTCTATGGGGCAAATCAGTGACTCGGCCCGAAGATTAAGTCACACGGCGGAGGACGAAACGAGAGCTGTGGGGATGATGTGAGACTTGGCCTTCTTTCTCAAGCCGTCTGAGGACTTCCCGCTCAAGAAACTCTCTTTCCCCTTCTCCCAACCATCTCGGCGCCACTCTTGCAAGTCCAAGGTCAGCGCTATTTCGGCTTCTGGCTTAGATTGCATACGATACCCAAGCTAATAGACATGTGGATAGAATTAACTCCCTGGATCCCAGAAGTTTGTTTTGAAAATGAAGCTACAACACGAGCTGCAGAACCGTATGCAATGCATCTCGGAGCATACCCACTATAGAGCATACTCTATCCCTCCTCGTCTCGTACCCTTGAGCTCCAGGTTCAAGGCTCGAGATCCCTCGACGCAAGCTCGATTCAACGCAATACTCGGCCTGCTTCTGGTGCCGAGCCGTCCGCCCTGAAACGACTCCATTCACCCGAATTATACCGTTCTTCCTGAATGAGCTGGCCGAAAGGAGGCATACTACTCCGTTGTATCCGGCACAATGAGTCGTGAGAAGGCCGAAATCGAGGGACTTGGATTGTGATTGGGATGGCTCTGCCTCGCCACATCACGGACCTCAGCGTGCCTCGACATCTTTGCTTAGCAGCCACCCGCACCGGAATATGTGTGCCGAAGCCCCACAGAAGCATCAAGAATGCTGATGTTGGATGAGGAACTGGAATTTGGAGCAAAAGTGTCCATTGTTCAGCTTCGCCGCTCCGTCCGGAGCTGGAAGCCTGCATACGAAGCTGAACTCGGAGGGCGTGAGAAAAGGGAGCCGAAGGCGGCAGAAACATTCTTCGCCGGAGATACCGAGATAAGCACTTGCTAGATCTGAAGACCACCATGTCTTGATGCTCCCGCTATTGTCATTGTATCCTCGGATCCACCCGGAGGTTGCTAAGGAGCTGTCAACTCCTGTGTGGAAATGGCCCCAGCTACAGTGAAACTTACCTCGACAAAACCCAAAATTTCTGCATTGAGTCGCATCGCAGCTGCTCTTTGCGACTGATTCTCATCTCTGCAATTTTTCCTTGAAAAACTCTTGTAAAGTCTTTAACAGGAATACCCAACGGGATGGGTCCCCATCAATCCTTCTTCTATGTCAGTTCCCACTTCCGTAGCAATCCAACGGTAACATTCTTTTGTAATATACGACAGCTCCTGGAACATTCAACTCCCAAAAATACCTGAAAGAAGTATGCTGACTCCGATTTCTCCGGAACAGCCGTCACCGCTCCATCACAAGCAATCCTTAATCCATTATCCGATCTGCGGTCTTCGAATACTGCTGACTCGGATATTATGGCCGTAGACATCTTGCATGGAAAGTCTTGCATGCGTCTCCATACGGTGCGCACCTGGCACGACTCCATCTAATGTTTTAGCTCAACAAAAATCAACAAGACGCCATTGGGACAATGACATCCCCTGGTAAATAGCAGAGCAAGAGGACGAAGAACTAACAATCTCTAGAAGAGTTGAAAACTATGAACATACCGCTCTCCACTAACCACCGCACAAGTCGGAATTACTACCAATCCTCCCGCCAGATCTTCACAACCGACTCCCCAATTACAGACCTACAGTGTCCACGTTGTCCTTCGTACACAGAACGATATATATTCAAGCCTTCAACAAGTCCACACTCCGAAGTCGTTAGTCTCCGGTATTTTCCATGCCAAAGAGACAACAAAACCACCAAGCTCCACCGTCCATCACTCCTTCCCCTTCCATCCCAGAAACCATTAACGTCCTTTACCAAAATCTCCCGCGAAACAACTCACATCCTACATCTTCTTCGAGCAATCCCTCCACTGGCCACTACATCCCACATCAAAATCTTCCGCCCGTCAACTAACTTAGATTCCGATAGCACCTCTAAGCACGCCACCTATCACTGCACCTTCAACCAAACACACCGTATCTCCTCGCCCTCCTCGAGTCCCCAATACGCAACAAGCTCAACGCCAACACATCCACACCTGCCGTGCAACGACAAGAAACGTCTGTACCCAACCCGCTAGATCCTGTACTCCTCTGCAACTCTACCCGACGCTGCAAACCCAAGGGAACGCAAAGACAACACATCCGTGACCAGGGTGCCAGCCCAAGGGGACAGAAAAATACCGCTCGCTCTCAGCGTCTCACGGCATCTCACGGCGTAATGCGCGCATGCAAGTCATCGTCGACATTGCTGCACTGCAATATGCAAGTCCGGCATGCGAGGTGGATGCAGGAACATGTGTCAACCTCCCTCTCTGAACAATCGAAAAAGTCGGGAGATGAAGAATACGGGTAGGCAGGACACTTGTCGGTTCCTTGCCATCTCATCAATTCTGCCTTTGCAAATCAGAAGCTCGCTCTGGGTTGTTGGATATAGAGTGAAGCTGTATTATTCTGAAGTCTCTTTCTCGCGTAAACTCTACGGTATCCACAATAAGAACAGTAAACCAAACACAAACGCAGCGCCAGTTATGCATTCCATTCCAATCCTGACAGACCCATCATTCACGTCATTAATTGCCGTCTGAGTCTTTCAAATTAGCGACCCAGGGCTAGATCTCTACATCACGAAATCAACCAAACAGAACGTCAACACCAATGCCCAGCCACTCGCGGCAAGTATGCTCTTCTTTCGCTCAAGGTGGCCATTGAACTGCCATTACGGATGTATAAAAGAAGGGAATTAAGGTCTCGAGATGCCTTGTCGGGCCTGGGAGATCAGTTAGCGTATATTCGTGGTGAGGAGTGGACTGGGAGGTATACCTTCATCTGCTCGATCTTCGCCTTCAAAGCACTCGTGACTTCCGCCGCTCTCTTCCAGCTCTCAACGCCTTGTCCATTACCCTCCGGTCTTGCGCCCTCGGTGCTCGTATCTCTGATCCTCGATTGGAATGCAGGTGCAGGACTATTTCTGCCACCACTGCCGCTCGCAGCGCTGTTCCGCCCATTGCGGCCAAGCTCTGGACTCAGCTTACCCCGACCATATTGTGCAGTCATTGCGTCGACGGTATTCTCTTTCTCCTCGCTGAGTGCCGAGTTTAAGGACATCCGAGCTCGATGGCCGTACCCTGCTCTGGCGGTCTCTTGAGTGCCGCTGTACATACCTGTGTCGCGGTAGATGCCAGCTTCGTCTGTTGAGCCGTCTCGACCGGGACTTAATGCCGGAGGACTGTTGACCCTTTCGGCACTGGTTAGAGCACGCTTGAGTCGCTCCATTTCTCTCCGTAATTGGCCACACATTGCCTCTGCCGCTTCACAATCCGATCTTGCGCGGACGAGCTGTGTTTCTTTCGCCTTGATAGAGAGGACATCTCGAGTGTGGTCTTCAATTAATTGCGCGTTTTGATTCTTCAATTCTTGAACTTCCGAGTTCAATCTCGATCGTTCTTGTCGTAAGTCATCGCTTTGTCGCAGTAAACGATCTTTGTCAAGTCGTAGCTCTTCCAGTTCAGCTCGTTCCAGGGCTGTTAACCCCGAATTTGGCGGGGGAGATATTGATTGACTGGCGGGAGGAGCAAGTGCTGGTGCTTTCGCAGCAAGAGGGCGACCGGCGAGACCACGACCACCAAGACCGAGACGAGGGGGTGCAGGTGCTTCTTCTTCTGGCGGAGGCGCTTGTGAGACTGGGCGTCGTGGTGATGAGAGAGCTGGTGGGGCAGAACCGCCAGGTCCAGCAAGGGTCCGCTTCATTGGAGCTTTGAGGCCAGCTCCCGGAGCAGCCAAGCCAGATGTTTTGGGGGCCCCGAGCTTCGAGCCAGGAATGCTTCTTGCGGTCGGTTGTGGTGCCAAAGCTTCTTGAGCATATGGGCTAGGAGCTGGAGCTGGCTTCTTCGTGGCTGGCTTCTTAGCAACGACCTTTCGGGGAGCTGCTGCTGGGGCCGCTGCACGAGGAGCAGCCGCTGGTGGTGGCTTTGGCTTGTCTTTTGCCTTCACTTCAGCCGTATCGAAGTACTCCTTGATTTTTGTCTTTCGGATATCATCAAGACCCTCGAGATACGGTCCCATCGCTCGCTCGCCCATGATCTTCATCACCGTCCCTAAAACTTCTGCTCCTCCTGATCTCAAACCCTCAACCGACTCAGATAACAGCTTCTTTGCTGCCTCTGCAATTGAAGCAACCTCGGGTTTTGCGGGAGCTTCTCTGGTGGTCTTCAGACATCTGATCAGGAACTTCATGGTGCCCTCCTTGACTTGTGGATTCTTGTGCTTCAAGAATTCGAGAGTCTCTTCCAAGCAATCGGACAAACTGGTGGCGGCAAACACTTGATCCAATGCTGCTCCAAGCGCATCTGATACCGAAGCTTTCTTCTCCTTTAGTCTCTCCATGGTGGGGCCCATAACAATCGATCGATATCTGCCGAACGGCTTTCGCATCCCCTTTGCCAAGACCTCAATACATTGTGCAGCTTGAGTAACGACGGCAATGTTTGCATCCTTCATACACTTCGGCCCTAGACATCTTGCTATCTCGCCAAAATCGCCGTCCTTGATTCTGGGAACATTAAGAATCACGTATAGTGCTTCGAGGGCGTCCTTCCTCTCCTTCCATTTCGCTGAAGCCAATTGTTCGTGGAAATCTGGTGCAACTTTGGACAAAACGTCTTGGGGTTCTGCCAAATCGAAGGCATCAATCTCCACTCCTTCAGCTTCCAATTCATCTTCCTCTTCAACAGCTCCTGCGGCGCCCGGAGGGGGTGCTCTTGACATTGCAGCTTGCTGTGACCGTAAAAAACGTTCCTGCTTCGGCGCTGGTTCTGACTTGATTTTCTCAAAGGAAGCTTCCATTTCCGTTTGCTGCGTCGGCTTTAAGTCGTTCCAGAACATTGGCTTCATCGCCTCTCTCAGCCATCTGTAAAATTCCACCGCCAGATTCGTGGCTTCTGCTCGCACATTTTTGTCCGCGTGGCCAAATGCTTTCGGTAGAACCTTGAGGACAGACTTTGGGTCCACCGTTTTGCACCCATAATTGTGATAAATGGCAGTCAATGCTGCTAATGTTGCAGCAACGACCTTTGGTTGTTTATTAGAAAGCGCAGGGAGGAGATCTTCGATGACAGGCGCGGGGGTATCTAACTCGATGTAAAGTAAAATGGCCTCAAGGGCGGATTGTTTGGTTGCAGCCCTGGTGGAGGATAGGCCCTTCTCGACCAAGGGGGTCAATGTATGGCCTCGTGTCCTATCTTAAAGTCAGAATTTATCTCCTCAATAACCCAGCATAACATACCTCGTACATCCTTCACGGCCGCCAAATTTGAGGAAGGCACATAATGCCGCAATACCTTCTTGCTGTGCGGCAACATTCGAGTCTGCAACTGCTCCCTTCCACAGTGAAGGCTCTTGTAGAAATGGGCGAAAGGCAGGGTCATGCTCGTCGGGGGTAATCTCGAATTGCTTCGCACCGTCTTCGTATGCTGCTTTTCGTACTTTCCATATCTAGGAACGAAATTGTCAGTCCGTTGGCCCGTGGCATCTTTTGGATTGTGGCGGAGTAAGTACCTTGTGCTGAAAGCGATCAGGCAATGGCAGCGAGCTGAAATCTTCCTCCTGTTCAGCCATCTTGGGATTCGGTGATTTGGGAGGGGCCTTGGGTTCTTTGCCAGATCCTGTCACGCGTTTAGTTAGCTTGCGCAGTGGCAGGGAGATGCGTTTCTCCATGGCTGCAAGGCCACGGATCATAGGCGACAGATGAGGTATCTCGCACGCACAAAGATGTCCTCATCTTTTGGAAACGTAAGGGGCGAAGGGGAGCGTACCTGGACGGGTTGGCGCAAAGTCTGGTCGGCTCCTGCTGTCTCAAAGGGGACGTGTCGGAGTCGGTCGCAGTCGGTCGCAAGGCTGATAAAATAGAGTAATCGCGTCGGTTCCGCAACATGTACAGAGCCGTCGTAGCAATAGAGCACAAATAGTCGGATCAGTTGTGGTCGTTGTGGTACGAAATCGTGAATAGTGACGAGAAGCAGTAGGTGTTGATATCGAATTTCTTGCTCGTCACTCGTGGCAACCCACCCCTGCACTTGGCCCGTGCTGTCATTAGCCCACTTCGGCTGGCCCCAACCCCTGACCAAAGGGTGAGGCCTGTTTTTGATAAGTTGCGGAGCAGAGCGCATCACAAGAAATTGCCAGACTTCCCAACTTCGCCATCCCGCACAGCACAAAACCACCGCCGATCTACGTCTCCCTTTTGACCGCATAGAGCCTACTTGAGTGAATATCGTGTCCTTACCCAAGCCAGACTTGCGCCAGAGATTTGAGCAGCATACCACCTCCCCGCACTGCAATTTCAAGGAATAAACACAGAGGCAACATCAGGCGTCAGCTGCCGGGCGCATGCCTTGGGAGAGAGTTGCAAACAAATAGCCCCCGAGCTTCATGTATCGAATACCGCAGTCACCATGAGCCAAATCCTGACGCCGCGGCAGGCCGAAGAGCTGTAAGCTACGCCCCCTGATGTCGCAGAGCAACCACTGATTCGAGACCAGGCACAAGTCCATCATAGCCTACCTCAGCTCGATAGGTCTCACAAACAGTACCGCGGCGTTACGGGAAGACCTGAGTATCGGCGATAGCTTCGATGCAGCTACAAGTAAGAAATATGAGGGGTTACTGGAGAAGAAGTGGACGAGTGTGGTGCGGCTACAGAAAAAGGTAGGCAATAAAACCTTCTGCCGAAGGCTGCCGAGGACTGACTTGATCTGCTCCAGATAATGGATCTCGAATCAAGAAATGCAAGTCTACAATCAGAGCTCGACTCGGCGACTCCAACATCCCTCTCACGGCGGAACCAAGACCCGACATCTTGGCTCCCAAGATCGCCGGCAAGGCACACGCTCGAATCGCATAGAGGCCCGATTACATGCGTTGCATTTCACCCTGTATTTTCCTCACTCGCATCGGGCTCGGACGATTACACCATAAAGATTTGGGACTGGGAATTAGGGGAGCTGGAACGGACGGTTAAAGGGCATACCAAGGCAGTGCTGGATGTTGACTTTGGTGGGCCAAGAGGAGGGACATTACTTGCTTCGTGCTCGAGCGATCTAACGATCAAACTGTGGGATCCAAGCGACGAGTACAAGAATATTCGAACTCTACCTGGACATGATCATTCGGTTTCTGCTGTGCGATTCATACCTAGTGGTGCTGCTGGATCTCCGTCATCAGGAAACCTCCTCGTTTCAGCAAGTCGAGACAAGTCATTGCGAATATGGGACGTTTCAACAGGATATTGTGTGAAAACGATCCGGGGGCACGCAGATTGGGTCCGAGACGTCTCACCCTCCTTCGATGGTGAATATCTGCTCTCTGCGGGCAACGACAATACGGCACGAATATGGAATACGACTTCTGGCGAACCGCAAGCAACACTGCTAGGCCACGAGCACGTTATCGAATGCTGTGTATTTGCGCCCCCAACGAGTTACGGATATCTAGCGACTCTGGCAGGACAAAAGAAGCCACCTGCAAGCAGTTCGGCAGAATTCATAGCGACAGGTTCAAGAGACAAGAGCATAAGACTATGGGATGCTCGAGGGACCTTGATTAAGACACTGCTGGGCCACGACAATTGGGTGAGTGGTCTAGTCTTCCATCCGGGCGGCAAATACCTGCTCAGTGTGGCCGACGACAAGACATTACGATGTTGGGACCTCTCACAAGAAGGCAAGTTAGTGAAAACATTAGACGAGACCCACGGGCATTTCGTCAGCTGCATACGCTGGGCGCCGGGCGTTGTAAAGGAAACCCCGGCTACGAATGGAGTGAACGGGACTCCGAACGGGAAGAAGAAAGAAGATCCAGCTGCGAACGTCAGCATAAGGTGCGTCATAGCGACGGGGAGTGTAGATTTGAAAGTCAGGGTCTTCGCGTCATGATTATGAAGGGATGAATCGATGGACTGGCTGGTTAGTTGGGAGAAGGGAATTGCGGAGTTGGCTCGTCACGGCTCGAGCATTTCAGATGCTTTCTCCGGATCGGATTGTCTATGAAATATATCACGACCGTCATGCTTAGCATTTGCAGGAAGAAAGAGTCGCTTCTTCGGAGATGAATCGAATAATGAACTCCAAACACGTTGGCCCGTTGCATTGAGCCGTGATGTCGGCTTTGATTTGACAAAGAGTACCTTCAACTCGTTTTTACATCTAGGCGTTGAACCTGACCTTGAGGGAAGGGTGGAGTGTTGCATGATATGCAAAGGGTCCTCTTCCGTACGGATACGGATTCAACCTTTAACCGGCTTTTTTTCGCCTTGCCCGCATCACAAAGCAAGGGTCCTCCACATCTCTGCTTCCCACACAAGCACTTCTAGCCGTGCCTCAATCTCAGACCTCACCACCCCCTCTCACGTCTCACATCCATGTCCACAATCATGGCAAATCCCCTCTGAATCACCATTCAGCTCGTCACCTACGCTGACATGCCCGCCCTCGCCCAGATCAGTGGGAACTCCTTTGAAGAAGACCGCCACACGGTCATGAAAGGGCAAGGCAAGAAGCCCTACAACATGTACGAGAACGCACCCACCAAACTGGGACGCTACCTCTCGTCCGAGAAATTCGTGATGCTCAAAGCCGTGGACGAGGTGTTTACGCCCGTTCGTCAATACGAGCGGTTTACCAATCGGGCGCTACGATTGGTCAATCGGCCTTCCGATTAATCAATCGTAGCTCCCATTAATCAATAGGAAATGGAATACGATTCGCAAGCCACAGTGGGTCCCGATTAATCAATCGGGGGGCCGATTAATCAATCGCATAATATTGGGGTTTCGGGGCTGAGGAGGCTGAAACCCTTTAGTTCTCAGTATATAATAATATATCCTTAAGACTAATGGCTGAAACCCTTTAGTTCTCAGTATGTAATAATATATCCTCAAGACTAATGGCTAAAACCCTTTAGTTCTCAGTATATAATAATATATCCTTAAGACTAATGGCTGAAACCCTTTAGTTCTCAGTATGTAATAATATATCCTTAAGACTAATAGCTGAAACCCTTTAGTTCTCAGTATGTAATAGGGGTAAAGACACTTTTCCATAGCTTCTAGATATATATAGGGCCTCTGCTCCCTTTTTACTACCTAGACACAGTTTACAGTACATAGTTCACAGTACAAGCACCTACTTTCCAAGTATAATTACTAATTCTATATACCTCCCAATTAATTACCTTATTTCCAATATGTCTCTTTCAACCCTTCGTTTATCTCTAGTCCTACGTATATCTCGTTAATATATCTATGGCCGAGCAAAGCAATATTTTGATATTACTATACCAGGAGTATATTCCTCTAGTACTCAGTTTTTGCCCTCCCCTATTACTAAAGACCCTACTAATAATTAGTCTGCTAAAGACGAAGCTATATGGGATTAAAGGCTTGCTAAGGGCAGTAGTAGGAAAATTCTTACTACTAGGAAGCATATAGATATTAGATAGTAGTTGCAAAATCCTGATACTTTACTCCCTAGTAGAATAAAAGCAGAGAAGCGCTACTAGGCTAATATTAAGTACGAATCCCAATTATATAAGCTTCAGGATAATTAGGTATATTATAAGGAATACCATGATACCCGCCGCAATAAGATTATTCCAGCCTGGTATATTCTTTACTATAATAATACCTTTGAGGTTTTGACTACTATTTATGAGAAATTAATATATATAGGTAAGTATCCCTTGAATTTACTAATTTTTATACTAATAACCTATATAATAGCCTTTAATACTATATTTGAGTATATAAGACGTATTTGGTATGGCCTATCCCGTAACGACCACGCTTGGATAAGTGCCTGCTATGCTTACTATAATAAGGAAAAGGCTCAGAAGAATCCTAAGGGAATTACACCTATCCAATCTCATTATCCTAGCGAGTGTATGGTTCTGGATTTAATAGATTTTCGTATAAGTATCCCTTAAGTCATGTGATTTACCCCTATATTCCTGTATTTCCTGTATTTCCTGTGTTTTTAAGCTTTTCCTATGATTTTCGCGATTTTCGTACGTTTTTAGGCCTTTCCTGCAATTTTCGCGATTTTCGCGATTCCTACGATTTTCGTAAATTCCGAACCTTTTTCTCTATACTTTATTAATACTATAGTATTATTTACTAATACTATTATAGTATGATCCGGATAAAGAATATATATGGATCTGGCAATTAAAATGCCACTTTTCCAAGTTCGTATGGATCCGTAGGCTTAAGGCTAAGACTGCGGACAAAGCTGCGGACGAGCTTATTAAATAGCTAAATAATAATGGATATATTTCCATTTTAGCCTATAATAATAGAGGCGAGTTTAAGGGGAAAGTAATTGAGATTTGCAAGAAGAGAGGGATAAAGATTATTTGCGGACGAGCTTATTATCCTTAATCTCAGGACTCTATTAAAGTGGCTAATCGAATCTTCAAGAAACGACTACGGGCCGTACGAGCGGATACTAGTATCTAATCGTGGATACAGTTACTTCCTTTAATTATATGGGTAATTAATACTATAGCTATACCAGCTCTTCCTAAGGGAAATATACCATATGAGGTCTGGTTTGGACGAAAGCCACCTACTGATTTCCTAGACTATAAGGAGAGTGCTTGCCGTATACGTGCGGCCCTAGGGGCTATAGGGCCTATAGAAGGTATTACTGAGAATAGTACTTCTGGAGAGGATGGAGAGGATGGAGAGGATAGAGAGAATAGAGAGAATGGAGAGAATAGAGAGAATGAAGAGGATAGAGAGGATAGCTTTTTCGTAGATAAAGAAGCAGAACAGGAGGAAGTAGCTGAGGAGATAATTTTATCTGAGCTAACTAGGAGGGTTGCGGAGTATATAAGAAAACAGAGGGAGAATATGGTAAAGAGGGCGAATTCCAAAGCTCTTGAGTATAATATTCAAGAGATTGCAACCCTCCAGATCCCAAAGCAATACAGATTCGGTACGGAAATGGCTAGAATTCCAGTAAGAGTTTTGGAAAAGACTCTAAAGGTATATGGTTTATAAGCCTTACTTTTAATAAAAGCTAATTAAAATAGGGCTACCGCTTAGCTACTAAGTATGGTGAGCTTACTACTCTCTGGCCGTATAGTGCCCTTAACAAAATCACCTCCCAATTGACTTATCCTGATTTACCTACTACTGGTGCAACCCACAAGAGGGATAAAATCACCCTCCCTAAAGCGGTAGCAAAGGAGAATAATCGTGGTTCAATTGCGTCAGTTCAGAAGGCTGGAAGAGCATCTGAGAGAGCAAAGAAGAGAGTAGCTGAGGAGCAAGCACGTGAGAATGGAGCTAGAGAAGGAGGAGAATCAGGTGATCAAGTGGAGGGGAGGGCACCAAAAAGGGCTAGGGTGGCTATAGGAGCGCCTAGACGTAGTGGGAGGCATGTATAGTAAAGCTTTTACTATTCCCGAGACCTCAATATTACCCGATTGGGTAATCGGCCATGCGATTGATCAATCGGCCCCCCGATTGATTAATCGGGACCCACTGTGGCTTGCGAATCGTATTCCATTTCCTATTGATTAATGGGAGCTACGATTGATTAATCGGAAGGCCGATTGACCAATCGTAGCGCCCGATTGGTAAACCGCTCGTATTGACGAACGGGCGTGAACAGAGGTAACGGGCACCGTGGTCTGCACTAGAATGTGAGGGCGTTTCTGTTACATTTGTCGCAGGTAGGGCTGTACTCTGTCCCACAGTAAGGGAGCTAATAATTGTCGTGGCCCCTTCCACAATACCCTAGCTAAGATCCGACCCTAATTCGATAAATTGCAGGCCGGCACTTTGAAAAGAAAATTATTCTTCCATGTGATAACTTGTGGGGAGAATATCGTTAGAATGTGAAGAAACTTGAGTATCGATGAGCTCTTTATGTTAATAAAGAATAACGAGATATAGTGAATCATTGACGCCGTTCACGATGACTTCCTAACGTATCACTACCAAATCGTTCCGTCTCTTGCAATTCGTGGGGGCCATATCCTTCGCCTCTTTAGCATCCCTATACCTCGCTGTTATCCGCTCCGAAGCTCTTGGGAAATCCACTGATTGGCTGGCGCGCCTGCCTCTCAAAACACAAAGAGATATCCACAACACTGTTCCAGCTTGAAGTGCGGAAAGCAAACGGTTCATCTGTCAGGCAAAACGTGTTGTTCGTTTCCATATTTTCGAAGACCTCCGGTGTAATTTGAATCTTCTTCCCAGAAGTGATCCTCGAATCTTCAATCTTGAAGTATGGAAACTCAGAGCTATGTTGTGAGCTTTGAGATTTCAGGGAAAAGGCTAGCCCGCGGATCTCCCTGTACTCCGAAGAGCGTGGAAATCGACAGTAAATGAAGCCTGGATATGTAATCAGTAGAGTTAGCGGGAAGCAAAGCACTGTTTTAGGAATGAAGGATTTGTACAGTACCTCGAATTTCGTATTCTCCCCCTGGCTGAATTTGCCCGGAGATTCTGTGAAAGTAGAAGCAGGACGCTAGGAGCTTTCTCGCAAGGTTACAGAGCTCCGCTTTGCGGATAGGCTCCTTCCAATACTTGTCTGCAAGATCTGCCAGTTCTTCCATCTTATCAACCTCGTGAAGTTCTGGGATTGGTGCTGGAAGAAGAGGGTTCAGGCGAAAAGATTTTGCCTTTCTGGAATCGTCCAGATCTTGGTAGTAATGTTTCCAGGTCCTTTCAGAATCCAAGCTGTTCTCTATATGATCGTAGGCCACTTTAGCTATCCGATATACTGAGCCTAACCTCTCCATCTGATTCAGAATGAAGTTTTGAAGCTGATCGCGAAATCCGGTGCTCCCCTGATTTTGTTCCGCGATTTCCGCTAGAAGGGGGTTGTGTCCAGTTCCTAGCGAAACAGCTGCATCAATTGTGTGACCAGACCACAGAAACTTGCGTTCCTCATCAACAATGCCAATGGGATTGTTGGTGTATAGGCCCCCGTCCAAGAAAGTCCTTTGTGTTCCTCGGTGGAAGTAACCTGAAAACCAGGTCGGCGCAGCGCACGTTGCTCGGGCACTGAAGTGCATTAGTCTGATGTTCAGATAGGGTAAGATGAGTGTCCCTTACGCTTCCCACGTCTTTAACTCCTGTTGCGGGTGTGGAGGACGCATGAAGTTGTATTTAGTAGAATGAGCCTCTGCAATGCCAGCAGATTATCAGCGTCATTAAGTATGAAAAGAGTATCGCAATACCACTCACCAGTCTGAGTACGATTATAATTGCCAAATACATATGGACCGCCCACACTCGAGTAGGATGTGAGTGCAATTTTTGTGTCGAATCTCTTCTGGAAGGAAGTTGGTCTACCACCAAAAAGGAATTCAAACGGCCCAAAAGCTTCTTTGAGCGACGACTCTAGAGCATATGTATCAAATCGGTCGAAGAGAACCTGCATGCCAGGAATCGGTACCAATTTGTGAATAACTCTGAGTTTGAATGACTGGCCGCAAAGGCTTTCGAACCGTTCACGACATTCGGTCACACTCCATGCCTTCGAGACTAAACCAGCTGCAATGATTCCTCCTACACTATGAATTATTTAGTTCAGTCTCGGAAAGCTTCAGCGAGTCCGAAAGCCAGAAAAAAATATCATTCCATACCTAGTCCCTACAATCAGGTCAAAGAATGACTGAATTGGAATTCTCTCGCCAAGATGTCTCTCGAGATGCTTTAGAGCCACGAGTTGTAAAATCCCGCGAACACCCCCTCTGTAAAGAATTAGACGATATAAGCGACAGGATGAACTCGGAACACACATACCCATCTAATGCCAGGAGCCTCACTCCTGCTTCTTTCGGAATTGCTCTAATGATAAGAGGTGCTTGCCATGGTAAGTGCGAATGCATGGGGCATTCATCAATCCTGGTAATGTAATTCCCATCGCCTTCCACTTGGGTTCCATAATTTGTCAAGCAGCCCTCGCAAATTACATGGCCACATGCCAACGGATGAACTGCAGCTCCCATAAGACACAGCACACAGCACACATTATCTTGGAATGCCAAGGCACCACGATTGCCGCCGTGCTGCTCGTAGAAGAGTCGGACTTCGCTTTTGTGAAGATCATAAACCTCAGGGGCTAGGAATATTCCAGAATCCGAACGCCGATTGAGAAGATTTGCTAAGTCTTGTTCCAATTTCATGAGAAAGCTGCGCTCGTTCGTCGGGTTCTGATAGCTTGTTGAGCCCTCTTGAAAGTTGCCTAATCCAGTGTCACCGTCTGTAGGAGCCGATATACCTATGAGTTGCCCATTGCTATTCTGATGGCCGAGGCTGTGCCCTGATCGGCGGTTTACACAACCGGGAAAGCTGCAAGGCCAGTCTAGATTCACGCCCTCGATAGCATTCCTGCAATGCTCTACATACTGCGGAAGAATAACATTGGCATTGCCAACTCTGCCATTTCTGGTAGCATCAAGCATGATGCAAGATGCGATGAAGGGGCTAAGAGTGTTTAATATTTCTCCGAATTCCATCGTGGGATGGAATGTCTTTAAATGGCGTCCAACCTTGACTATTTGATCCCCAAAAGTATTTGAGATTGGGGAGTTTAGGAATGATGCTTGAACGAAGTCGAATGGCTTCTCGAGGCCAGCCGGGGATGAGAAGTGTTTGAACGCGAATTGAAGGTACGGATCAAATTGATCCGCATTCAAAAGCATGCGGCTTCTCAATTTCTTCCTTTGAGCTTGCGCACCATTCAAGCCAATCTGGCGATACAGGGCAGAAACCTGAGCGTCAACCTTGTTTGGCCTGCCAATCCCAGCAGCTTGGTTGGGTATGCGAATAGCCTGTACTGTGGTGTAATAGCATTGGAGCAACCCTTTCGTGTTCAGTGTTCTCCCTGGTCGTTCCCATTTCTGGAGGTATGGTTTAAATTTGTCGAGTGTGTGAAGACTTCTGTCCATGCTTTCAAAGAGGAAGTTTGTTGTCTTCAGCTGATCCCAATCCTCGTCAGGAATAGCAGTTTCTGTTTTATTAAGTACGATGATTGCGTGGGGAAGGCTTGGGTTATTTGTCGAACGTTCAATTGCTGTGTCAGCCCACTTTAATAACATCTCTGTCACGTTTTCAATTGTTCTATTCAATATCAGCTTGGTCTTGGTTTGAAGCTTCGGACAATTGCGCGTAGCCAGTCTAATGTTGGATCTTACCTGGAATTTTCCAAAACGAATACGATTGTGTCGGAAAATGTGTATAGTATGCGCGAGTACAAATTAGTGACAATGTATTGCCTTGTTGTTGGTTTGTTGGTCCCGGCCCAAATCTTTGTTCTCACTATCTTCGCAACGGAAAAAAGGTGGTATCGAAGACTTTCTGTGGAGCTTTCTTCCACTGCAGAGTGGCATCTTGGGTTTGCATCACCGCCATTTAGCCCTTCGCAGTCTGCATAAAGAATTGGCTTCAAGCTCCCGTCGGTGGAGCTCCTCGGGTCTTTGTAGAGGTGAACGTCGCCGGAAGTTGGTTGATTGCCAGCGAAGGCGGACCCGACAACTGGGGTTTGAAGCGCGATATTTTGAGGATTGTTGAGCTAATTTCAGAAACGCCCTATTAGAAATCGTTTTATATTTTGGTGCTGGAAGAACTAACTTACAGAGATCAACAAATGAATCAAGCTACTTTTCCCCGCTCCTGAAGTAGATCAGCCACGATGAATCCTCTGGCGTAAGACTAATTGGTTACCTGTTTGACCAACAAAGGATACCAAGCTCGGATATAAGCGTGTCCGAGTCGAGGGGGGGTATTCAGCCATGAGCTGGGCATACCGACCATGGTCCATGAATGTAGCATCACTATCTTGCTGTCCATCGGCACGAGAAACACCGAACCACGTCGTTACGTGATCCGCTCTGTGGAGCGAATCTTCCTCGTCGAGTGTTCTCCGGGGTCGAAGAGAATTGCAGACCTTATTACTCAACCCCAAGCTAGTTTTCTCATGAACCTGTGACCCTCGACCGAGATCCGTGTGCAATGGCCAATGTTCCCAGCAGTCCGAGCAGAATTCATGCTCACAAATGTTACACAACACTCTATCAGGCCCAATCTCCCGGCACATTAGACAAATTGTGTGGATTGCCATGATAGATTCGGAGACTATCCCGCCTGCTCCAAGCTGCGAGGTATAATATTTCGCGGTACTCGTGCGTGTGTAGCTAATTCTGGGCTTTTGGAGCTGGGAAGTCGAGCGGGGCACGAGATTTGGGATCATGAGGAATTAACACTGCAGAGTGCTACATATGTAATAGGGTGCCTGTGCGACTGGGCGAGGCCCCACCCTGGGATCCCGCGTTTCTTTTCTTACTCCCCTTCAACGAGGTATTTATAATTGGCGATTGTGAAACATCTTTGCCCTGCAAAAGAACGGCAAGTGCCATATTGCCAAACCTTAGCCAATCGACTTTGTTCAGCTGAGCCTCATGGCGTGAAATTGCTTGACCCCAACCAATGACGCAATTATGGATGGGCACCACTTTGATGCAAGTAACTTCATATGGAAACATCCAAGGTGCATAGCCACCACTGGCAATTTTCTGGCGCGAAGCTGAGAAGCGCCAACCCCCTTCGAACTAAGCACATAACACACAAAACTGAGCGCAATACTAATATCCTTAATCCAACTAGAATACCATCTTTACTAAAAATCCACACCGGGGCATCGATTGTTCAAATCCTAACAATTATCTCGGTCAGATTTTGGAGGTTTAGAGAGCTCGACTTCAAGAGATGACGGTTGGGATGTGGTGGAGGATATGAAGGCACTCCAGCAGTCCCAGGTGTATCCATCAGCGCCGACGATGGCCCACCCGATGGGTCCCGCGAACGACGCAGTAAGAGCCCCTGAAAGAGTACCAGTCGACATGGCTCCTGTTATGGCAGCCCTTATGCTTGTTAATTTGACTAATGAGAGCCTCTTGTGTATTAGTAAGGAGTTTATAATAGGGAGGTTACTTCCTGTCTGGAGGCATATATGCCTTTATGCCTTCACATGAGGGTTATATGCTCGATACCAAAATCCCTAGTAACTTGGCCATAATTAGGGGTCAATTGCGCATTCAGCGCATTAATCGCCTTTTCGATATCTTGTTCGCTGACTATTTTATCGAATTTTGAAGGTGGTAGGGTAATTTTTAGTGAGGTGTGCATTGACTGTGGATCTCGGTTACAGCGATGTGCGAAACTAGCTTTAAAACACCATTTTTTACCGAGCTTTGGAAATCGCGTCTGGAGCCGCGTCGCGCATGACCTAATATTACTAAATCGCGAATTACTCAATAACCATAACTCCAGATTAAGAAGTAAGTTAATTGAATAATAGATTGCCTGCCTATCTTTAGTTCCCTAATAGTATTAGTACCCAAGCCCGGTATTCGTTTGCTACTATACGTAGTTAGGCGAATCGAGAATACCCTATATAATCCCGAAGCCATTATTAATAAAACTTATCTTTAATAACTCGCTATTAATTTTAATACTACTATTTAGATAATATATACTTATTAGAGACAAATTACTACTAGAAGACCTATTATATGCCGTTTAGGAGGTTTTCGGAGGATAATTACGTTTTATATAAAGTAGGCCATTTACTACTTTCTTATTAAGATGCCTTGGTTATATTAGGACGAGATTATAGAGTTCTTACTAGAAGCTTTTGGGGTTACTATTAATAGATTAATAATTTTGAAGCTTCTAAGGCATATTAATATTATATGGAAGAAGCTTGCAATTATGGTTATATAAAGAAATAAAGAGCTAAGAACTTAATAGCGGAATAACCTTTAGTAATTTATGGCAAATTAAATTATTTATATAGACGAATCAGGAAGTAATAGATATAATAGTAATTGAATAATAGGATATATAGAGGAAGGAGTTCGTATAATAGTATCTTATTAGCTTTAAAAGAAAGAAAGGGTCTTAGTTCTTCCGGTATATATAATTAAGAAGTATATTATATCTATTATATTTATAAGTAGTTTAATAGGAGCTATATTTGAGGACTTTATTATTAAATAGCTTTTATCTTTTTATAATTCTTTTCTGGCTCCCTAATTAGTAATTATAATAGATAATATATTAGTTTATTACGAATTATAGGATTGAATTATTAAGGCTTATTAATACCAGAATATCTGGATATACTAGCTTCTTTCTTACTTGCCCGATTTTAACCTAATTAAAGAGAGCTTTAGTAATATAAAGGCCTATATATATTATATATATTAAAAAGAGTATAATAAATATAGGAATTATTAAAAATATATTAAATAAGTAATTCGGAAGATTAGAACTAGTACTACTATAGCTTATTAAGTACGAGAATATTTTAGAAATACGGGAATATATAAAGTACTAGATAATTAGGGCTATTTTAGGTATATTTTGAGAAGTATTTATTTATTAGGAATATAGCTTTTTATTATAATATATGCTTGGTTTCTTGTACTTTACTTATATTTTACTAATAATATATAATAAAATTTACTTCTTATAATATTAATTTATAAAGCAAATTCTCTAATTAAGTATATTTTTATACTAATTTTAAAGAATTAAAATTATTTAATTTTATTAAAAGTCTATAAAATAAAAGCTCTTTTTATTTATATGTTTTTTAATGTTTTTATAAAGATTTTACGAATTACCTTACTTAGTATAATTTCTTATTTAGAGTTTTACCCAAAATATATATTAAATTATAAAATAAAAAAAGATTAAAGAAATAAACGAGATAATATTATAATTATAAAATAAGGAAAACAGAAATATATTATATTATATATAATACTTATAATAATGGAATAATTCTCCTTTCTTTAAAGTAAAGTATTTATAATTTCCTTATAAGTAATCCGGTATATATGAGTTTATATATAGCTCTTTATATTATTTAGCTAGTTTATGATTTGCTATAGTATAAAGGCCTTAAGCTACTTCCTAATAAGTATATTAATTCGATTTCTATTAAGAAACTTGAGATTAAATAAAGATAATAGTATTACTAGGGATCCCCTTTTACGAAAGTATAGCTACTATTTCGCTTGTTTTTAATTAATTAATCTTGAAATTCTTTTCCTTAATTACTTATATAGCCTTATTAATATTCTCCTTATTCTTACTAGCTATAGTTATTAACTAGTCTTAGAAATCGGGAAGGAAATTAACTATAGGATATTGAATTAGGGATAAGGCTTAAGGTATAGGATTACGGGAAAAGAGTCGAGAATAAAAGTACTATTAATAATAAAAAGTACGGGGGCTATTATGGTAATACTAACTTTTAAGGAAACCGAATTTATTACGGTAATTAAAGTATAGTAGTAAAGGATATTATGGTTATTAGGAAGGTTATTAAATAATAATTAGTTAAACTTATATAGAAGTAGATATAAAAGTAGGTATATCCTTTTTTATAGCCTTCTTTTAACTTTATTTCTTCTTCTTTATTTTTTGCTATTCTTAAAGAAAGTAAGCTATCTAATTAGGTAATAATATATTAATTATAATTTCGGGAATTATACTAACTAAAGTAGCCTACTTATTTTATTACTTTAATATAACTTTATAGTATTCTTTTAATAAGCTTATCTTATAGTAGTAAGAACCGTAATTGAGATAGTTAAGGTCTTTATAAAAATATTATACGAATATCTTTTAATAAATATATTCTTAAGCTAGAAGGCTTATATTACGGGCTGCTTTCTCTTAAAGTTATTAATTTATTATAGAGTCTTATAGTTTTAAAGAAAGATATAAAGGAAGCTCGAGATTATTATTAATATTAAGGGAAGTGAGTCTTATAGATTATATAATATGCAGTCTAGATTTGCCCTTAGTTCTATTACCTTTTACTTTATTTGTACTTAGAGAAGAAGTCTTTTAATAATTAAATATCCTATATATTATATTTATATAGATCTTATGGCATATCTTCCGATTTCTATTACTATTCTTTTCTATTTAATAAAGTATAGTTAAAAGACTAAGCTAAGAATTATTATTATTAATATATATGAAATTAATTACCTTAAAATTACTAATTCTAATTATCTAGTAAGATAACTTTGGTTTCTTGTATAGCTAGAGGTTATAAATAGTTTTAAACTCTCTAATATACTTAATATAAAGAAAGGCTTATAAATTATTAAAATCGTCCCGTATAGTAAAGTTAATATCCATAATCTTTGAGAATATTTTTTCTTTTTATATATTATCTATAACCGGAATTATAAATATAGATATATTATAGGGTGCTTCTTGCTTAATTAAAGAATTAAATAGCGGAAGAGGAGGTTATATTACTTTCTTAGCACGCTTTGGGAGCAGGGTATTATTAAGGGAAGATGTCTGGGGAACTAGAGAGTTACTTGGAATAATAATTAGAGTATCAGGTACCGGATCTCTCTCGATTTCGGGTTCAGGGGCGTTTATAGGTGCTATAGCTTGCTTTTTGGGTCTCTTCCGCTATCGTACGAGTGATTGGGACGCGTTGAATTCGGCCAGCGTGTTCCTATTAGGACGGTACGCCCGTTTCGGAGATTTCTCAGGAGAAGGTGCTCTGGCTTGCAGGCGCTTGGAGGATCTTGCGGGAGGCATGGCAAACTTTAATTTTGCAGTATTACAGATGAATTAATAAAGTGGTTGTGGAGTAATTACAAAAATTGGAAATCTATGGTTAGTAATCGTTCTCTCCAGACGCGATTTCCAAAGCTCGGTAAAAAATGGTGTTTTAAAGCTAGTTTCGCATATCGCTGTAAATTTACAGCCGTATGCGAAACACCATTTAAAATGCGATTTTTTAGCGAGAACCAACAAAATGCGATTTTTGCCGCGTCGCGTATTCTACCAAATAATCGAACCGCGAATTGCATTATAACTATGACGTAAACGTATAAAGTAAGTTAATCAGATTATTGGGGAGCACCTATACTAACTTCGTATAGAAGGGTTTTCTACTGCCATGCCTATATACTTAGCAGCAGATATAGTATATCGAATCAAATATGCTTTACGTGGCGCCGGCCCTCGACCCTCTGGACGATTTATTTAATAGCTAGCATGCGACTATAATACCATAGTTCAGACTATATATAACTATTAGAGGCATATATTGGCGAATAAACCGGTTAAGGCCCCTTCTGGTGGTACTAAGCGTATTATTACTCGGAAGATGAAGCAGGCTATAAAGTATATTTTGGATAAAGAGCCCTGGTGGTATTAAGACGAGCTTGCCGAATTTTTATATAAAGTCTATAATATTAAGGTTAATTAATCTACGGTTTTATAAGCTTTAAAGAGGATTAAGGTTATAAGAAAGCAATTAAAGGTCGTGGCTATATAGAGGAATACAGAACTAAGAGTATATTAGTAATATTATCTCCAAGACTTTATGGCCTTATAATTAGTATATATAGACGAATTAGGAAGTAATAAACGAACCGGCGATCGAATGTATAGATAAATAAATAAAGGGGTTCATATTCAGGTAAAACGTTAGTTAAGTAAAAGGAATAGAATATTAGTTCTTCCGGTATATATAATTAATAGATATATTATATCTATAATCTTTAAAGGCACCTGTACTAGAGAGATCTTTGAGGAGTTTATTATTGAGCAAGTTCTTCCAATAATAATACTATATCTAGGTCCTTAATTAGTTCTAATTATAGATAATGCCTCGATATATTACTCTAATTTATAAAGGATTAAAGAGGTAGCTAGATAATATAGTATTTGGATACGGTTTCTTCCCCTATACTTACCTGATTTTAACCTAATTAAGGAGAGCTTTAGCGATCTAAAGGCCTATATTCAATAATATTATTACCGGAAGTATAGGAAATTCGATAATTACCAGAGTTTTCTTAAATGGGCTGTTTAGAAGGTTAGTACTAGAATAGGGGCTTACTAATAAGCAAGAGTATATTTTAGGAATATAGGAGTATAAGGGATACTAGATAATTAAGTGGATTTCAGGGCCAAATTAGCCTTTTTATTCTTTAGTACTTTGTATCTTTTTATAGGAGTAATATAAGTTTTGGAAGCGAGGTATATATTTCATTAAAAATTTATTAATTTTATTATATTTCGATATTCTTGGCTATCTAATTAATATTATAATAGAAAGTTTTTTATATATAATTTAGGGCAAAAGTAATTATAGAATAGATATTTGATTTTATTATAATAATATTTCGAAAAATATTAGCCTTTTTTTATATATTTCAATAGTCTTATACCTGTTTTTATACTTTTCAGATCTTTACTATCTAATATTACTATATCCCAAAAGCTTTCTTAAAGAGATTAATTCCGTACTAAGGAAATAACTAGAATATTAGTAATTATTAAAGAAACTAGCTAATCTATTCTCCTTATCTCTCCTGAATTCCTAATAAAAAGATAAAGCTATTAATCTCCCTTTTTAATATTAAGCTTGCCTTATTTATACTAGTCCTTATATAGTATTATAATATTGTTTCTATAGAGCTTTAAATTCCTTTACTGCCCTTTATATCTATATATAAATATCGATTCATATATTCTCGGTATATAGTATATTTATTATCTTTTAAGTATAGATAAGATCCTTAACTCGAATTCGCTTTCTCTTCAAGATATTAAAACCATATTTAATATAGGCTCGGTTGTCTTTCTTTTCTTCTTATTCTAGTATATATTATAAGAGCCTAGTAAGCTCTTTATTATATAGTTCTCGAATCGGGGAGGAGGGAATTATAGAACGGGAGGGGTTCGGGTAATATAGTCGAGATAGAGTAATTGGATAATTATAGTTAATATTATAATATTGACTATATACTAGCAAAGGACGTTAATACTGAAATTATAGGGGAGAAGGGTAATACTGGAGCTGTAGTTAGTAGTATTTAGGCGGGGGTATAGGTTATAAAGGATATGGATATTATATAAAAGCAGGAGGTTAAGATACTATAATTAGAAATATAGGAGTCTCTTCTTTTAAATTAACTGTAATTATCTTCTCTTTCTTCTTATAGTTTCATTATTTATTTATATACTTGTTTGTTCTTGCAATATAGCTAATAATCTAATTAGGTAGAGAAATATTAAGGGTAATATTATTAATACTAATTAGTTTGGCCTATTCGTCTAGTTCTTCCTATAAAAGCTTATAGTATATATTTCTTTACTTAAGGAGGAAGTAATTACCGGTACTACCGCATTCTCTATTCGAGTAACCGTCTCTTATATACCGAGTTCGGGCAAAGAGCTATTTGCAATGGTATTAATATTTAGGGAGTATACTATTACGAGCTCTCTTCTCTTTTAGCTATCTTGCTATTATAGAGGCTCGTCCGTAAACAGGTAGTAGATCTAGATCATTTGAATCGCCGTTATCGTCTTCTTCTTCTTTGTTCGCTTCCACTTCGGAGGTATTTTCGGGGGTAGCTTCAAGGTTCATATATTGAACTATATCTGGACGAGCTTTGCTCTTCCCTCTGGACGGGACGATTTATAGAGGGGGTAGAGTAACCAGACGATTATAAGAGATATAAATCGTATTAATTTCGACCTTATAGGTATGTTTTCTAGAAGCTCTATTATCCTTCTTAATTTGACGGAGCGTAATTTCGATATTTTTCCAAGCTTTGGTATCTTTAATACGAAGGGTATAGTATTATCCTTTTGGATTGCCAATTATAATATTCTAATGAGATAATCAAGGTTTCTCTCCTGGTATTAGCTTGCGTATATCCTCCTACTGCTTTATATATCTCTTGTAAACGTATACGTAAAGCGTTTCAAGGTTATCGCGAAAGATATTATTAATATTAAGGTATATATAAATGCCGGTATTAGACTTGCGTAATCCATTAATAATTAGTGTAATTATTAGAGATATACTATGAGGCATCTTTCCTTCGTCATTTGGATCAAATGGGGACGAAGGAGGAGGGGCATTTGCTCTCTTGCATAGTGGAATTAGGGTGAGGTGTGTTGGAGAGCTCGGAGCAGGAGGAGGTATTCCGGGAGTACTAGAAATTGGAATTGGAGATACTGGGGTCTTCTCCGGTAATAGAATATCTTGAGGAAGCCCAGACGCCTTTAAAACCTTCCGCTTTCCAGTGTTTTGCTTTCGAATAAGAGCTTGCTGTACTGAAAACGCGTCAAGGGTGTTCGCGTTAGGCCTTCGGGCTCGTTTCGTGACTTTCTCAGCAGATGGCTCCTCTCCAAGCAAGCGCTTGGAGGAACGTTTTGGGGGCATGCTCCCTACGATATATTTCGAGTTTTGGGCTATTCGATAAGGTGGTTGTGGAGCAATTCGTGGATCGATTAGTCTTGATTAACCAATGGTTCTGCAAAATCGCGTTTTGTTGGTTCTCGCTAAAAAATCGCATTTTAAACGGTGTTTCGCATGCGGCTGTAAGGTTCAGCCTACCAGTCATAAAAATTCGAGGCCCCGCCTCCAAACATCATTCAACAACAACACAATGTCTTCCATGCACGCCTTCGCGCACAACTCCTCCGACGAGTCGTCGGACGAAGGAGATGACTTCCACCATCCCTCTACCGATCCAAATGCCGACGAATTCGCAGACTACAACCCCAGAAAGCGTCGACGAACAGGCCGAGACGCGAAGGAGCGCGCAGCACTCGGTGTTTTCGGCTCCGAGAGCGAAGAAGATGATGGGCCTGGTCGGAAATGGAAGAGGAAGAGCAATTTGAGGGGAAAGGGGATGTCGTTTGTCAGCACGGGGCAGAAGACTTTTGACGAGGATGAGGACGAAGATGAAGAGGAAGAGGAAGTGGAGGAAGATGTGGACATGGACGATGCTGAAGAAGAGGCAGAGGCGCCGAAGGGCTTGGGATTTGGGAGTGTGCCGCGAGGCTTGGGATTCCATAGTCCTGCGCCTGGAAAGAAGATCAACAATGCGCCGAAAAGTGCCACACCTTTGGGAAGGGGATTCGTGCCTTCTTCTGCGGCCGTTCCGATTCTCAAAAACAACGACGATGACGAAGTATCGACCCCTAGGATTTCACGACCGAGTGCATTCTCCACACCTACTTCTGGAAATGGACGTGGGAAGAAGACCCAGGCAGGGCCTTCGGTCAATGCTGGGTCGTTTGCCGCTAGGATGATGGCGAAGATGGGCTATAAGGAGGGGGAAGGTCTTGGAAAAGATGGCACGGGACGGAGCGGTGTGATCGAAGTTACACTACGGCCACAAGGTGTTGGTTTGGGTGCTGTTAAGGAGAAATCGAAGCAGGAAATTGAAGAAGAGAAGCGGCAGGCCAAATTGCGGGGAGAGAAGTACGAAGACTCGGATGAAGAGCGGAAGAAACGTCGCAAGAAACCGAGAGCCAGCGGCATTGAGAGTGGAAGTGGAAGTGGGATGAGTACACCTCGACGAGCTCCAAAGCCCAAGTTCAGGACATTAGAGGAAGTACAAAGAGCTGCGCCAGGTTTACAGATCCCAGATGCTTTTGCCCCCATTCTGGATATGACTGCTCCTGGCCAACGTTTATTGACCTCTACGTCTGGTCTACTAACGCCAACTACCGGGACTGAAAGTGTTGAGCAAATCGAGTCCAAGAAATTGGCTCGTCGTGCTCAAAATGACCTTTCTGCCTATGTGGAGGAGTGGAAAAACTTGGAGGAACGGAAGGCCTACATCGAGATGACCATTATTCAACACCAACAGGAGTTAGACGAAGAACAACGAGAGTTCGACCAGATGAAGTATTTTGCTGACAGCGTCCATTCAATATCTCAATCTGTGAGGGATTTGCAATGGGACCCTGTTTTGCAAGCTCTTCTGGCAGCAGATACTTTGTCGGTATCAGGAACCAACACCAATGTTAATGAAGAGCTATCGAGTATTGCCGTAGCAGCAATCCATCCGTTTCTCCGCCAAGCTACGGAAGGCTGGCAACCACTTGAAGATTCAAAACTCGCCGGGATGGCTCCTCAACTTTCGAAAATACGGCACATCCTTGGAGCTTCTTTAAGCAGGAGCAAATCAGTCACTGGTCAAGATTATCTGGTGAATGATGGATCCCATCGAGTTCATGCCAAGTCAACAACAGCTTACGAAAGCATGATTTACAAGATCATTTTTCCGAAGATTGTATCGGCGATCAACCAAACCTGGGATGTATACGATCCAACTCCCTTGCTTTCATTGTTTGAAGCGTGGGAAGGTCTCATACCATCTTTCGTTCGCTCACAAATCCTCAACCAAGCAGTCGTTGGAAAACTCAACGAAGCAGTGTCGTCCTGGAACCCGAAAAAGAGACGCACCCATGAGCTGCCTCACCTTTGGCTCTTTCCATGGCTGCAGTACCTTCCAGCGCATCATGCAGATCCCAAGAGCTCAACCGGCCTTGTTAGTGATGTCAAGCGCAAATTCCGGCAGCTTGTCGACACTTGGGATTTCCACAAAGGCGTTGTACCAGGTCTTCGACAGTGGCGAGAGGTCCTCTGCCCCAGTCGTGAAAATGACCAGTGGACACCCTTGATCATGAACCATGTTATCCCTAGTATGGCACGCTTTCTGCAGAACGAGAAAAATTTTGTGGTTGATCCCAACGATCAAGCACCCTACATGACTTCTCTTCAAGGCGTATTCGGCTGGAAAGTTATCCTCAAACCGAGCTACATCGGTGAGGTCATCGTCAAGGCAGTCTTCCCGAGGTGGCATGACGTTCTCCACCAGTGGCTCACGGTCGTGGGACCAAATGAGGAAATTGGACAGTGGTTTGAATGGTGGCGAGATGAGGTCTTCCCCGACGAAATCAAGAACTTGCCATCAATCCAGGAGCAATTCGACAAGGGCCACGAAATGATCAACCAGGCCCTAGATCTCGGGTCCTTGGCAGCAACTCACCTTCCTGCACCTTCCCAGAGGAAACACGTATCACCGCCGCCCAAACAAGTCACACCCCCCAAACCAGCTTCAGCACCCGTTGTGGAAGAATCAACATTCAGACACAAAGTGGAAGATTGGTGCATCGAAAACGACTTGCAGCTCTTACCCGAGAAGAAGGTTATGCACACCGCTGGACCTTTATACAGAATTACGGCTGCAGGAAATGGAAAGAATGGCACGTTGGCGTATTTCAAGGGAGATAGTTTGTGGGCACTGAGCAAGAAAGGGGCAGAGACGGCGGAAATTAGGATTGATTGGGAGAACGCTGATGCTAGGGATGCATTGTTTGGGATGGCGTGGCAGAATGTGAAGTAAACAATACCCGATGAATATCATCACACGTTAGTAGAATGAACCGGAGAATGAGGTTGGAATCAATGCATAATCGTGCCTCCTTGCACAGCGTAACTTTCATTCTTCCCCCAGGAAATGGATAAGGTAACATAGCCAAGTGGCTCCTTTCCGAATTATTTTGTGGCGAGGTTTCAATTTCAGATTTTATGCTTCGTTATATTTTCCATTACTGGTTATTAGAGACACTCCATCGTCACGTGTCACACATTCTGAGAGCAACTTTAGCAACTTTAGCCTCCAGATATTGGGGTTTCGAATACATATCATCTAATTCATGTCGTTGCTACTTGGTATCTCATATCTTGTGAACACCATCCCTCTCACACGTGTGTACCGTATTTACGGTCTTGCCCCACATTCCTCGGCATTTCGAATGACATCAGCGCGGGGCAGGTGCTGAAACTTCAATCAAAGAACATCAAATGCTCATCCTACCCTCGCCTCATCGGACATAACACAGCTCACCAAAATTGAATCCAAACTATCGCCGAAGTAACAGCTCGGACAATATCCAGAACCAGCATTAGGGCCGGTTCGATAATTCAAATAAATAGGTCGCGTCCCGCACAAGCCGCAGCTGTCATACCACCCCTCCTTCAACCCCTCTGAAGAAAAGAATCAATTGAGTACGCATCCCACGATCAAATCATTAATTGTCTTGTTTACGCAAGGATCAGTTAATTTATTAACAATAGTCAAGCTGACAAGACAAGCCTTCACCCGTTCCACATAAAAATTCTCCAACAAAATTAATTTGAACAACTTCAAAATGGCACCAAAAGTTCTCTTCGTTCTCACCTCCCACGACAAGATGGGAGACACTGGGAAGCCCACTGGATGGTATCTTGTCAGTTCTTCCCTTCTTCTCCCCCAATTCCTAGTACCCCGGCGTCACCGCCTTCCACCCCATCTTCTTCAACTCTTGCTAACGTTCCTCTCACCACCAGCCCGAATTCGCTCACCCATATGAAGTCCTCGCAGACCACGTCCAAGTCGTGGTGGCATCTCCCAACGGCGGCGCCGCGCCGCTCGACCCCTCCTCCGTCGAAGCCTTCAAAGGCGATGCCTCTGCAACCAAATTCCTGAACACGAAGGAGGCACTATGGAAGAATACACACAAGCTGTCGGAATTCATCGGACATGCGAATGATTACGAGGCTATATTCTTTGTTGGTGGTCACGGACGTACGCACCCTTCTCTTTCATATATACACCCCTTGGTCTGGTGTAGTTTGGAAAAGGAATGTTATATTGACGCGCTTTGTAGCAATGTTCGACCTAGCCAAGGACGAAACGTCCCACAAACTCATCAACGAATTTTGGGCCCACAACAAGATCGTGTCCGCCGTATGTCACGGTCCCGCCGCCTTAGCATACGTCAAGCTCCCCTCAGGCCAATACCTGCTCTCCGGTCAATCTGTCACCGGTTTCTCGAACGCGGAGGAAGATCAGGTGGGCTTGAGTGCCGCGATGCCGTTCATGCTTGAGGATCAGCTTAACACGGCGTCTGGAGGCAAGTTCGTGAAGGCTGCAGAGGCCTGGGGTGCGAAGGTGGTTGTAAGTGGTGGAGGCAGAATTATCACTGGTCAGAACCCAAGCAGTTCTGGCCCGCTTGGACAGGCGATTTATGATGGAATCTTTGGGCAGTTGACGACGAAGGATGAGGTGTAGGTGGGGAGGCAATGGGATGGCAGTTATGAAATGTCAGTAAAAAACTATCAAATGGAAAGTTGAGGAACTGTTCTCTTCGTGAAATGCAACTGTGTTCTCTTAGTTCAGTTTTCAGAGAATCTCTCTTGGAGCCTCTCAAGCCATATCTGCCATCTACTATTCGCCCCCTATTCCCCTACGCAACTTCCCTCACAAGCGCCGTGTTAATATACTCCCAAATCTTAATCAACTTTTCCCTCTCCGCTTCAAAGATAAAAATCTAACAAAATCTACACGATCACTTATATCAGCTGCCCTTTCTCAATCTCCTTGTCCCCCTGGCCACTGATCTCCTTTCTCGCCTTAAATGATAGGAAACTAGCAGACAAATTCAATCATGATTATAAGGTTTCCCACCAGTGCTCCCAATGGGTGGGTAGGGCCGATTTTTGAGCTAGCCCTGGACCACCCAGTAAAAATCTAAGAACTGGACTACCTTGGACTAGCTAATTAGGGGTTGGACCAGGTCGAACTGGTCCGCCTGAAGGTCTTATTTCTAAAAATAGCCTAGCGCTAGCCAAAAGGAGTAACAGATTGGAGCTTCTCTACCCCCCCCGATGCCTCCCTTTTTTGCTGATCAGCTGATAAGTACTCAAAGTAATTACCATAAAATAAGCCCCCCTTTACCCAACTTCTTATGCACTCACTAGCCTCGATTGCTTCAGGCTTTAAAGCACTCCGATAGGGTGGTATCATCAATTTATCGCCATGATTAGTACTACTTATGGAAGACAGTTCACTAAATGCGGACGATGTTATATGTAATGCACTAGGCGAAATAGCACGATCAGAGCTAGAAATCGGTGGTTGAGACATAATTATCAATAGAATCAAGTGCAACTCACGTAATTCCAGAGAGAAAATTGCTATGCTGCAGAGATTTTTTTCCAAAAAAAGTGGGAAATCGTCCAAGCTTAAGCCCGATCTGCAGAGCTAGGCCTAAAGTATATCTTCAAAATCGACCCCAAGCGGGCCTATCAGGGCGCCCTGAGTAATCAAAAGTCACGCCCTGGACCACCCAATAAAAGCCAGGGCGTCAGATTACTTAGAACTGCCCTGGACTTTACCAGGTGGGTGGTCCAGGGGGCGCTAGGCGCCCCACCCATTGGGAACACTGTTTCCCACTCTTCTGCGTCGCATACACACTACCCTCGACAATCGCCTTCAAGCCAATAATGTCCATCTCATCCACACCATATTAATCGGTGTTGTCAAAACCTTCACTAACGGAGCCCGAATTTTTCGCTTCCGAGAACTTAGCGTTCTGTTCAACGTTTTCCGTGTGAGAGGGTGAAATGGGGCCTTGAGGAGAGGTGAGTGGATGCACATATACGCCAAGTGGGTATGCACCATTGGGAAAAGGGTCTGTGATTACCCAGTGCACGTTTGGGTCAAGGGCAGAGAGAAAGGGCTCCCATTCTCGCTGTGCCCAGGGGCTGGTCGGGTGGGAAGGTGTGATTGTGTAGGGCATTTTTGATTGTTAGTCGGGGAGTTAGAAGAATTAATCAATTTGAATTATGGTGTACAGTTTATGTGTTGGCGGAGATGTGGGTTCGTTTTAGGACATGTTATTAGTACGTGGTTGGAAAGAGGTGACGAGTGACAAGCGTTTGTGCTTTAAAATCACGAAGTCAACCTTTTCGAGGAAAACAACGGTGGGGTCAAGTTACTGTACAAACTTACAAATTCACAGCCACTTCGTACAGACCGTACGGCGCGTATCTACTGTGACTAGTGAGGCTTCTGTTGCTTATAAATAAACGGTGCCGACCACACAGACTCTCTCTGTTTTCGTCAATGGTGCTGCACATAGAATTCAGATTACTTCTTCAAAGAAAATTAAAATTTGAGACGTTGATCAGGAAGGCAGTTCGTTGCAGCTCATGTCTAAACTTTGGTTCCCGAATGACATGGACGTTGACAGCGATATCTCGGCAGTGTGTTTCCGGCAGGTAAACTTTAGTCGGATGAGATTAGATTCGATCTTTCATCCCACTCTTGCGCCTCAACAATGCAGATATCCTCCCACTATCTGATTCCAATCCCAAAACCCTTTCTTACTCCCCCAGTTCTAATCTCGCTCTGGTTATTGGATGAAGGTCGTCTGGCGGTGTCTAACCCCTAACCCCTATTTCATTCTCGCTTAGCAGCGGGGTCCTTGCACACGACATGGCATCTACAGAAGTCAACACTTTGTTCTCCGTTAAGGGAAGAGTGGCTCTGGTCACAGGAGGTACAAGTGGAATTGGATTGATGATTGCAAAAGTATCATATTTTACTTTTCAAAAATACAAGCTGACGCAAGTCAGGGGCTGGTCACGAACGGAGCGAAAGTCTATGTTTGCGGATTACCTAATGACCTGATTGAAGAAGCAGTCCATGAACTAAACACTCTGGGTGCTCGCTGCGGAGGGACTGCAATAGGGTGCGTAATTTCCTTGAATTTTCACTTCCTAAGGTTGGGTTCGGAGGTGCGACCCCGGGCTGAAAGTCCAGTCCAGCTTCTCCTGTAACTTGACAAGCAAAGAGGGAATTCTACAAACCTCAAACAAGATCCGGGAGTCCGAATTCAGCCTCGATATCCTGATATCCAACGCAGGGATACGTCGAGATCCACCACAATCATGCAACGTTCTGACAGCACCTCTCTCCGAGCTGCAAGCCTCCCTTTGGTCTTCCGAGTACGAGGATTGGACACAGTCGTTCCAAGTCAATACTATGGCGCACTATTACCTTTCGGTTGCCTTACTCGATCTACTTGCCGCAGCAGGAGATCTGCAAATGCCAGACGGCAGCAAAGGTCGAGATCATGGAAGAGGAGTGGTGGTAATCACTAGCTCAATCGCGAGTCTACATAATGCTACGAATGTAGATATGATGAGCTATGCGACGACAAAAGCAGCTACTGATCATTTGGTCTCATTGCTTGCAGCGAAATTCTCGAGGTGGTATGTGCGAGTTTGTGGCATCAATCCTGGGTGTAAGTACTTTTTTTTGACTCTCCACAATGACTAGGGTGAAGCTGATGTTGAAAGTTGTTCCGAGCAATATGAATCCTATGGGCACAGGTTCTGGATCAGATATCTTTGGAGATTTGGTACAAAAGGCGCCAGCGAAGAGAGCGGGGGGATTGGATGATTTGGCGGGGATTGTGTTGTTTCTTGTGAGCAAAGCGGGGGCGTGTGTCCATGGGAGGAGTATTGCTATTGATGGGGGACGAACACTTTTTGCGAATGGGCAGGACTAAATTTGTACTGAATGAGAGCCATGGTGTTAATTTAATTTCTATTTCTTACCCGATTTTTCTAAACCACTACACCATAAGACTACAATTCCACAGAATTCACTGCGACGTTTGTCATAGTCTCAATGCCCAGAACTTTTGGAACATTGAAGCCTGACTCATCCAAGTTGCTAACTGCATCCTGAAAGCCCTTGATCATCCTCGCAACCCCTGGAATATATTCCTGTTGAGATATTTTGCGGTCATGTGACTGTCTTCCCAAAATTTCTTCGCCCTTTCAGTTCGCTTCTCCGGAACCAGAGTGTGGAAAAATTTGAGAATGTATCAGCAGGAAAGGCTTGAATGGGAATAACTCCAAATAAATACCATTAAAGCCATGGCTTTGGAAAAGAGAAGTTTGCAATCAATATATTAACAAGGCTTTCTATAAGATGCGTGGTTGTTTTGTAATCGATGTTTAAAGTGCGCAGACTCTTGAGAAACGCACGCGAATTTCCGCTCATATCTGGCCCATATCCGGGGAAAGGGGCTTAGAGGCGTTTTTTCCCCCGGGGATTTCATATTATGGACGTATAAAGTTGCGGTTTTCGCTTGTACTGAGGCTGTGGCTTGACTTGCCCCTGGCGGTCTCACGCGCATGGTTTGGATTCGCCAGAGGCGAATATACAAACAACAATTCGCAACTTGCGAATAGTAAACCGTTCGCAACTGGCGAATAGACGAGCAAATACATTCAATGTATAGTCCTTATTTGCCCCTGGTATCTCACTCGCACGGGTTGAATTCGCAAGAGGCGAATATTTAAACAACAATTCGCAGCTTGCAAAAAATAAACCATTCGCAACCCGGCGAATATCCAAGCAAATGCTTTATAATGTCTGACCACCATGGAGAATTCCTGTTGGCCTTTTCTATGACCTCGTTCAGGGACTTTTGCACCACTTTCGTTCCAATTTGTCTCCCCCGGGCGCATTTCTACCTTTCTCCTTGCACACTCTGCACACAACCCTCTCCAATAACAGCCCATCAAATTGTTCGCCTTCCATACTGTCAGACCCTTATCCACACCAATCCAGCCTACGATGTACCCGCAACTTCAGTGTCCGACAATGTTCCCAGAGAGCTACAAGGAGAGGTTATGGAAGATACTTTTTGGCATTCGAGGTCTTGGGTCAAGCCCATCCAGGCATCTGTCCACGTTTGGAACAAATGTAGGGCCGCCCACTGGTGCTCCGAGTTTCGGTCGTGTCCACTGTGGTGTCTATTCTCCCACCATAGGAGTAGGAGGGGCTAGCTCATTTACCAACTTGGAGAACATCTCGAGCACACAGGCAGCGGGACTCGGACATGGGCTCGCCATTTATTCCTCAAAGCTTATCTTTGTTCCAGTAATTGCGGGAGACGTTGCGAGTTCTTGCTGTCCCACAGTCAACCTCTCTGCTCTCTGGAGCGGAAGGGGTAGTGGTCGGACAACAAACAACTCCTTGGCGACATCAACCACCTCCTACGAAATCGCCAGAGAAATCTTCATCCCTTCTGTCTCGAACTCAGCGGATGTTGGAACTTCAGCAGGCACTTGCGATGCAAAGAAACACGGGGTCGTTCAGCCCCTTCCGAAACCAAACCCCGTGAGTTCATTGAACAATCCTATTGCCTGTGTTAGAATGATTTCTAACTCTCAAGGACACCACGACCACTACTCCTCCTCGTCCTCTTGCTCCCGCAACCCCTCCCACTTCTCCTAGTAATAAGAGACAGAACACCAATTGAATTGTCGAACCCACAATATTTGTTTTGGACCCCTCGGTTGTGTGGGGTCTTTCAGTGGCAGAAGAATACATCAGTACCGGTGCCGCTGGCTATTTTGACAGCACATGATCGGTAAGGTGGTATCAAAGGTGGAAAGGCGGATGATGACCACGGTGGCCCGAGAATGTGTACATATCAGGGAGGGTAGTTTTTGGGAGTCCTTCGCACACCATTCGCGTTGGTCGTTTACTACTGGGCCATAATTTCTCGAATCGATAATGCTTGGAGGAACGTTTCCTTAGACCGATGATCTGTAACACATCTCGAACGATAGATCAAATGGTTCGTTAGCTACTGCTTGTCTCGAAGCATTCAATTGTGAAATTACCTTGCTCACTGAAGCATGACCCAACCTGCTCCCCTGCTACCAAGCCTCTTCTTAAATTCTATTTCATGTCCCGTTTCGGCCTGGTTCCCCCAAATATTTGAGAATTGGCTTTTTGTCGATGTCTTATTTTGAACTCTGTTCACACAAACTCGTACGGTTTGGTGTTTGCATTCAACAACACAGCCTCGTCGCAATGCCCAAGTCCTCGAAAGTACAGAGCAGTGTCCGCAACAGGACATCGCTAGGTGGTGAACCCATATAGGACGAAACTTCACGCAACTTGCGTAAGCCCTCAGGCTCAATCACCCGCGCCCACTGCGCCCTTTCCACGTCAGCACAACCTTCCATTCTCCACGCCCGACTGATGTCTGCTATCCCACCCGCCTTCAACTACCGCAGACTCATCGCATCCAATCCGCTTAAAACCCTGTCAATTAGAGAAGTTTAACTCGTCGCCCTCGCATGCGTCGGTGCCAGGTGAGGCTCCCTTCGATCTGTTACTGGGATAACGACCAGGAATCATGCCAGAAGATCAATGTGAGAGGGTGATGCAGTGATTCAAATGTCACACACAGTGCGAAGAGTGCTCTCGAGCATGAAGCAGCCGCAGGGAAATATATTTCCACCGTCGCCATGTGCGATTCATCTATCTGGCACTGGCAAGCGCGCAGCCTCGCCGGCAAAATCGTGTAATTCTCTGCCTTTGTTTCTTTATAGGAACCGTCTCGAGCATTGCAATGGTTCCACCCGTGGCTGAGGCTCCGAATGGAATTATTTTGGCTGCCGTGGCTGCAGCCTTGCTATCCCCTCCTGCAAAGCAATCGCAGATATCCACTCCGATCTTCGCTGTTGACATCGATTCTGCAGAGAAATGCGCAAATGCTACTGCTACAATTCCATTGGAAATGAAGGAACCGTCTGCGCCCAAGACCAGCGATGTTGGAACACTGCCAATTGAAGAGGCTGAGATGCGAGCAGAGCACACAGCAGCATCGAGTGCAGGTGTCAATCGCTACACAGAAGTTCGCACAGCTGTAGATAGGGCGATGAAACAATTGCCAGATCAAAGGACTTCAAGTAGGAACTAGGACCTGTATGAAAATTACTTGCATACGCTGAAAGATTATAGCTGTACCAAGCCTCATCAGTCCATCTTCAAACATTTCCTCCTCTTCTTCGAGCGAAGGGACCATCACGAACTCCGAGAACACCCCTGAACCTAATGATGGAGAGGAAAAGCAGAACAGAGCAGATGCGGGGCTACACCGCATCATTGAGAGAAATTGTGCAATCCATTTCATTATTATCCACTCAAGCCCTCAATGCCTCAACGTGAACCAGAAGCTAACTATGTTCTGGTGCAGATGAGAGCTACCCCATGGGGTGGCCCCAGCTGGCGGCTTTCCTCAATAGTGCCGACAATTATGCGATATTCCGACGGTTTGGCACTGAACACTGCCGTGTCCTGCTGCACTTGATGGCGGAAATAACAAGCATACAGAAGGAAATCGACGTTTTGGATCAGGCAGATGCAAAGAATAAGGATATGCTATACCGATTGCGGAGGAATGAGTGGCACGAAGGTTGGGATACTGCGCAGAAGGACCTCCTCGACAAATTGAGGACTAAACTGTTAGAATATGGCAAGCTTGCTCCCCACTACCCCCATTCACAGTTTGGCAATAAGATGACTGAACCATCGTCATGGTCTTACTGACAAGGACTTGCTTGCATTTCAGGCGCAGTCCTACTTCAAGACAGCAAGTTACGTTCACTGGACCCCGCGCCGGCACGGGACTTCCAGCACGTCTTCCGCTGGATCTACGACCGCAAACCACTTGATCTTGGTGAATACGACTTTATCTTACACGGCGAGGATTTTGTTTCTTCGGGGAAACGTTCCAGCAATCCCTTTGAACGTCTCATTGAATCATGCCTGAGTCGTTGTCCGAATATGGACATATTCCGAGTAAGTGAAGCAGAGCTTTGTTTCCGATTATGATAGAGGACAAAGTTGAGGTTCAAATGGCTTACAGGGAAACAGCGATTCTTGCGTGAAGATAACGAAGTCCATGGCGTGCAGGATCCAGCAGTCCATTTCTTCTCCAGCGCCAAAATTGCTTTCGTGGGTAGACTTGCAGCTGTCTGTGTCGCTGTCACAATCTTGCTAATCCCGATTTTCCTTCTGTACTTGACGTCGATGAGCAGAGGGGCAGTTTCCGGCATGGTTTTGGCGTTCGTCTTGACCTTTGCAATGCTCGTGTCATTACTTACGAGCGCTGGCGTGGAGACAGTGTTTGTTGGCACTTGCGCGTAAGTCTACCCTTTGTTTTGGGGGGCAGATGGTGAGAGAATAGTGCACGCTGATGTGTTTAAAAGGTATTGTGCGGTGATTGTAACATTTATGGGGAACGTGCAGGGGAATGCAGGATCTGTGAATCAGGGCTGAATTGCCTTTTTCATTCTCAAGTCAGTCAAAGTGTGGCCAAACTTTACTGAGAAGATTTTGAGTGAGGTATAGAGGCAAAAGATATTCTCCTTGACATCTTGTTTAAGAGAAAAACTCTTCCAATGACAATTGTGAGGCATCCGATCCCCGAGTTCCTCCCGCCTTCAGTTCAATCCGAATATTGGATTGGTCATATATGTTTCAGCCAATGATTTTGGTGGTGCTGTTACTGGTATCGAAGGTATTTGACGCCGGGGCCAACTGTCTCTGTAACTTGATAGCACTAAATCATGGTAGCGTTGTACCGTTTGCACAGTCTGGGGAAGCAATATATCATGTAAGGCTCTTTGCTTTCTGGAAGCTTCTACTTCGAGATCAGATCGGACGAGTTTGGGAAGCTCCTGTCGAAAATATGTTTCGAAATCACCGAGGTCTATCAACTCCTGCACTGTGTCAAAACCTAGTAAACCATCAGCGAAGCCGTCCATGGCAAAACCACTACGTGAAGAATCCAAGAAGAAACGTACTTGGATCTGGGATATCATGGCCAGGAAAGAGCATTTGGTAGATTTCTTTCCATCTTTCCTTCTGAGGCACATTCTGGCCGGCTTTCTTCCGACTCTTTAATGCCTTTTGTGTCTCGGCTGATATCCCATCTGGAGGGTCTCCTTCCTTAAAATAACACGGCATGCGATCAACGAGATGGGATTTGAGGTCTTGTTCGGTGCCAAATACTTCTTTGCATCTCTGGCAGTAAGGTGGGGCTAAGTGACAGCGATATAAATGTTCTCTGGAATTTGTTAGGTCTGCCATCTAGAACGAGATTCGTGACGCGAACTTAACTCTCGATACACTATCCCAGGCCCTCGACGCACACACCCTATTTGTTTGTATGTTGTATTTTCGTGGGTCGTTTTTGTAGAATGGACATGCAAGCTTCAGAGACCGTTCCAACTCCGGGCCGCGTCGAGGTCGCTTCGGCCTTGGTTTCCCTTCGTCTAGGATAGAGCTATTGTCGCTGGATTGGGCATCCCAATTTCCTTTCGGCATCAACGATGATCGTCGAGTTGTGGAGAGAGACGTTTCTGTGGTGTTGAAAGGCGCCCAAAAAGCGGTATTGCCTGCGTCACCCAAGATGTCCTCGTTCTCACTCTGTTCGAAGGCGTGTGGAACGGTTCGCTTCAGAGAACCACTAACCAGCAACTCGACTCCGGGATCGATATCTTTCTCTTGCCAATCAAATATAAAACGTTCGTTCGTTCGGGCACTTCGATCGTCTCTTACAACGCTAGGTACAAGTTCATCGTTCCTCAAGGCGTCCTGAGGGCCGAGTCGCGCGGCATGGCCTGGATCATTGTGCGCGGTCGAAGGGTATTGATTCTCTGTTGAGATTATAGAGCAATTGATATTATGAGGGCTGTCTGAGTTCAACTTGTGAGCTATTACGAGTCAAACAAGGGAGTTTGGTAAAGGCGACCTTGGGAACGGAGCCACTTACAAGTCTCGTCCACAGCTGGGTTTCCCACGTCGCATGGCTGACTCGACTTTAAACACTCCTCTTCGATATCAGAACTCGGCAGATAGCTCGATAATGAGGCATTTCCGAGTAAACCCATCGTTCTCCTTGCATGCGAATTATCTGTAATCGGAAGTGGAGCCCAGATGCCGTGGGACATGGTGGGCACTGGCCCAAATGACTAAGCGTTTCATGTCTACAGACTCTGCGCGACGATAAATAAAACTAGTAAAAACTCGGCATTTCCCCTTCACGCCTCTGTTTTAAAGTTTAACCCCCTTATATCTTCGCTAATTTAAGTCTAATAGAATAGAAAGTAGATTAAAATGCTTGTATAAGCTAGAACAATTAATTATATTCTTAAGGCTTAAAAGTAGTATTATAAAAAGTACTAAAAAAACCCTCGTCTTTACTATTTTTACTTATAAAGTTTTTTTTAATAAAAAAATACTAGTACTTTACCTGATTCTTACTTAATTTACTATTTTATATAATAGAATTATAGTTATAGACTTAGTCTAAACTCCTATTTTATTTGGAAGTAAATTTAATAAGAATTTATAATAATACAAGCAGTTTTAAGAAAATATATATAAAATAACTCGGCCTTATATATATAAAATAACTCGGCCTTATATATATAAAAGTACGAATTTGAGGCACTTTTAATAACTCCTTTTATATAAGACTATATCTAATAAATAATAAAGCAAATTAAATAAATAAGTAAGGTCTTTCTTTTCTTATAAAGCTTTATAATTTGATTAAGTAGTAGTTAAGATATAGGAAGGTAAATTCTGTGAATGAGGTGCATGGCAAAAGAAGTGCGAAAGGCGGTTTTTAGTCGAAAATCTCTGGTTTTCACAAATTGCTTGAATACTAAAACTCACGCGGAGTCGAACCAGGGCAACAATCAAGAAACGGTTCATGATGATACTTGCGAAGAACTTCAAGTGCCAATCTTCAAAAACAATTGATACTGGAAAAGCGGTAGCGAGACATTACAGTGTAATAAAGTGTCCGCTTTTGAAGTTGACGTCTAAGTACACTACCGGTAATGATTATCACGCGGTCTTCAGTTATATCTCGGAGAGCAAGAGAAATAAATAAACGCCAACCACATTACTTCTTAATCGATAAACCTCGAGAAGTCGCAAATTTGGTGCCTTGAAGTTATTCCTCGAAGAAACCCAACACGCTCTGAAAGACCCCTTCGCGAATGCATCGTCGATTTGTCTAGCAACGACTACTTTCAACATACGCCATTAAGTAATTGTATCTATTATAAACAACCTCAAGAGATATTATCAATCATGGCCAGGCCAATAAGATGCCTCCGTACATCAAATTCACGTCAATATTTATATTCCCACAGCGGCCCCTCCTTTGCTAGCACCAACCCCAAGCCCTCCCACCCCCACCATGCCTATCATGATCCCTCCCCATAATACCCATCATACAAATAACAGCAATCAACTCGAACTTCTCGCTCAGCACCTCGTGATCCGCCAAGAAGCTCATCACCCCTTTATTCTTGATACTCATAAAAAGCAACGTCCACATAGCCACAGTCTCTCCTGCCTTGAGCCGAGCAAACTCCTCGCCATGACCTCCGCCGCGTAGACTGACAAATCTTTCCCTTGGCTTCGCTTCCACTCAAAGCGCTCCGGTACATTGCTTCCACGGACCGTGATAGAGAAGAATCGACCAGCAGAGAACCGCCCTCCTTTCCCAAGAGGGTTGCGCTCTACGCAATAGGTGGGCGTGGCCATGAGCTCGATGTCGACTCGAGTTGTGAGGCTTGGGAAGATGGCGGCTGCGAGGGGTGGCGATGATGGATAGTGGTTGGAGTGAAGGATTATGCTTGGTTACCGGATCGGGCGAGGTGGTTGCTGATGTAGCAGAGGACCTTTGAATCATCTCCCGTTTGGCCGACCCACATGACTGGCAATGTGCCTGGGGAGTGGTAGAATTCGAAATCCCTGCGTTGCGTGCTTCAGGATGTTGCCTGTTTGAAGGATGGAGGAGGGATGTTGGTAAAGGAACTTGAAACAATGCTTTGCTGAATAGAGTTTGCAGCAGCGCGTGCTGCTGCATTTATGTCCGGTACATTGCTTGCTGTGCTAAATGGACTAGAGACGCCGCTTTTCTAGGCGAGGTTGGTAGCATCAGATACTGTTTGTCTCAGGATTACGACGAAGTTTTGTGTTGATTAGAAGGATGACCTGGAAGATCCGGGTCGGTGAATCAAGTACATAATCGAGTCGGCTCGAGTTTGAGGGGAGGAATGAGTGGAGGAGGGAGAATGAGGATTGGTACGAACTTCTGGTGGAGCATTTGATTATTCTGAGTAGGGCGGTTGAAGAATAGAGTCAGCTTGAGCGGGATGGAAGGAATGAGCTAGGATGAAAGGTGATCTAGGAGCACCGGGATAGTGAACTAACAAGTTTTGAGTCGAGTTCTGAGTGGTAGGGGATTAATTATAGGTGGTGGGAACTCCTCGTGAAGCATTGGGCTGTGCTGAATGTGGTAATTGGCCAAATTCTCGAATGGGCACGGCTTGAGTTTGGTCAGATGAACGAATCGAAGTAGGAGCCGGAGAGTAATGGCTGGCGCGAGGCACGGTTAGTTGCTCATATGGCGGTGTTTCTTATGGTGGTGGGATAGCCCTTTGACCAGAGTGGGCTTGAGTTGTATGGAGACAATGAAGTGGGTTGAAAGACGATCGGGGAGTCCCAGGTTTGTGAATCAAAGAGTTACGGGTGGATTCGCTTTCAGTGACAGCAAATTAATCATTGGTACGACCAACTGGCGGTGGTAAGTATGGAGATGCTGATTAAGGTGGTAGATGGTCTTCCGTTCCATTCTTCTTTGATATCAGTTGTTCAAGGTGAGATGAACAGTGGGTGATATCGGCTGGTCTAGCTCCCCTGTAATGAAACACCTTCAAAGATATATCAAGCAGGCACGAAAACGGCCAGCGACGGTCCTGGCGCAAGGCCTTTAGTATTTCTCCATGATGTGGTGTTGATTGTGGACAGCGGAAGGCTTGAATTGCTTGCCTAGCCGACCGAACGAATCAGAATTCAGTGTGTGAGAACCCGTGCTGAGCGATTTAACACCCTGTGGGCCCTGAGAAACTGTTTTGCTTGCCTTAGGCCCATCTAGTGCAGCAGAATATTGGTCACAAGGTGTTCTGCTCCTGGCAGCACTTATTTTGCGTAACATATCTTTATCCCGCAAAGGCTCGGAAGACTTCTCGAGAGCCACATGCATACTCACGCATCTTAAATGCTAAATGGAGGTGTTACACGAATAGGAAATAAGGAATCTTGTACACGTCCAATGGAATCCAAATTGAGCATGAAGTGCCGCCTTCAAGACCGGCTACGCAAAACCCAGCATCACAGGATCGGAAAGACACTTCTCTCCTAAAGTGGAGGGAACGAGCAGCAACAACACGTCGCGTCAACGCAACAAGGAATAAGTTCAAAGATTGTCGACCTTGTATCGAGACATGACCATTCCATGATCAATGACGAAAGACTCGAGGAGAGTCAGTTTGATCCCACTCCCAATGTCTCCAAACAAAGATATTCCTCTCCCCAAAAGCACCGGAGCTCGAGTGATGGTAATTTCATCAATCAGACCTCGGATCAAGAACTGTTGGATCACGTTCCCGCCGTCAACATACACGCCCTTGGCACCTGCCTCATCCAACTTTGCCAACGCAGCATCGATTGACCTGACCACAGTGACGCGGGGATCTGAGATGGTCACTGCTCTGCTCAGTACGAGAACTTCATGATCCGGATATGGCCATTCCGGAAAGGATACAGCGGTCTCGAAAGTCTTTCTTCCAAGGATGATGTGGTCGACAGACGCCAGATGCTGCTCGTATTCAGCGGCCGCTGAATGACTGCCAGTCGGTGGAACGTGGCGGTCGTTGTGAGGAGTGTGCGTCAACCACTCTATGTCTCCATCAAGGCGGATGATGAACCCATCCAGACTTGTAGCGATGAAGGCTCTGTATGTCCTCCCTTCCCCATCTCGAATGTCAAGGTTGAAGTTGGGGTGGCTGAGACACGTGAGATGTGTCCGTTCAAATAGGAAGGTCCAGTCGAGATCCACCCCCACTTTTTAAGCTTCGAGATCTCTAGATAAGAACCCGATAGGAAACGGCCGACGACATCTCTATTCTTTCTCTCTTCTTTTTAAAGTTGTTGATCTCTACAACAGGGGAGCTTTAACTAGAATTTGCATCATGGCAACTGTTGGAAAAGTCCCCGTATCTGTAGGACATGAAAGTTCGCTCTCCGCAGCTCTCGAAGCCCAGAAATATCTTCAATCACGACTGACGGCGACCTCCGAGACGACATCCTTCCGCTCAATCCCAATAATCGATCTCACAAAATCATTCTCTTCGTCCCTAACTGATCGACAAGAAGTAGCCCGACAAATCAACGAAGCGTGCACGACTGTGGGTTTCTTCTATATCACCGCTCATGGAATTCCAGAAGAAGTTTGCAACAATGTGCTCAATCTCGCCCACCGATTCTTCCACGAACTGCCTCAATCCTCGAAAGAAGCAATCCATATGAAGCACTCGAATCACTTTCGCGGATATGAACCTGCAGCTTTCTCGTCCGTGAATGACTTCACGAGTAAAGAGACAAAGGAAGCTTTCAATTGGGGATACGAAACTGGATTGGATCCAACCGGCGGAGATGGAAAATATGTGGAACTTGATGGGACTTCGGAAGGAGCTGTGAACCAGTGGCCCCAAGAGTCTGAATTGCCTGGGTTCTACAACGGGATCTCGAAATATTACGGGGAGGTGGGTTTGAATTGTGCAATTGGCCGAATCTTAACTGATCTGGAAATAGGTCCTTCAACTATCGAGACATCTCTTCCGCCTCTTCGCCCTCTCACTTGCCCTCCCTGAAGATTACTTCGAAACCCTCATGACACATCCTGGAGGAATAGCAAGGCTGATCAGATACCCACCGAGCATCAACCCGAAACCCCTCTCCGCACTGAACGAAGATGAAGAAATTGGCTTGGGAGCACACACCGACTACGAATGCTTCACACTCCTTCTACAAGACTCGAATCCAGGCCTGGAAATACTGAGTCCAGATGGCCACTGGATTAGTGCCGAACCAGTAAATGGTGGCATCGTGGTCAATGTGGGAGACTTCTTAATGCGTTGGACGAACGGAGTATACAAAAGCACTGTGCACCGAGTGGTCAATCGTACGGCGAAGGAGAGATACAGTACTCCACTTTTCTTCTCGATCAACTATGATGAGATTGTGGAGACATTGCCATCCTGTCTCAGCAAAGACAACCCTTCGAAATTCCCTCCCATCACGGCTGGGAGGTATGTGTTAGACAGGTTGGCACTCACAGTGAAGACCGGAAAGTACTGAATAAATGAGAACACGAGATTTTCCATATCCAGTCATCGATGTCAAAATCTGATTGTACGAGACTTTTTACGTATTTTCCATTCAAATGCAGAGCTTACAAAACAAGTGTACTTTTTGGATATTACCCGACCTAAGATCACGCTTCAAAATCTCGAAAGCAAGATGAATTAGCTGAGGCAACCTATCGTACAATACCCCTCTGTCAGTCCCTCGCTATCCTCGGTCTAGCCACGAGCCCCAGCCCCAACCCCAACGCACACATTGTTCTTCGCAAGCATTGTCGCACAAGAACTGCCCACGGCAGGGTTCCAGGCGTAGAAATCGGAGAGAGCGATCCCGGCAGCTGTTGCGATGCTACTACATGTATCCGACTCGACCACCAAGTGGAACTTTGAGCAATTGCCTATCATTCCCGGTTGAAATGGTGTCGGCGTCGATACCGGTGCTCCCGTAGCTGAGGAGAGGGCAGTGCGTGAGGGCCAACTAGTCTTCGAAGGGTTCGCCGCCGATAAGTTCCCACCGGCCCATCCACCTTGGTGATCATGATCCTCATCCCAAACAGCACACGTAACCATGCCCGGTCCCTTCCCTTCAACATCGATCTCCAGACTCCCCAGTATGCCCGTTAGATCCCCACTCGCCACATCCCTGCCAATAACCACGAGGCGATTATCCCCATTCAACGCCACAGCCAGCATTGTACCAGCTTTGTTGATTTCGAATTGCCGTGGCAGGAGACCGCCAGCTGGGAATCGTTGGACTTGACAGAGCTGGCCGGAGGAGGGCGAGATGAGGAAGGTGAACATGCTGTCTGAGGGGATGTGGGTGGTGTTTTGGGGGTCGGGGTGTGGGATGGTGAAGGAGGTGTCGTTCCGCGAGGATATGATTAGGTATTTGTTGTCTGGCTACATTTATTTCACCCTTTGTGAGCTTCACGTCCCTTGTATGGTGGGGAGAGGGGGGAAGGAGAGAAGGCTTACAGTGAGCCTTATCTCCGCCGCCGCAGCAGTCGAGGGCACGGGAAGTTGCAGATCCTGAAGTTCATTGAAGGTCAAAGTCTTATTCGCATTATAGAAAACCTCATATCCGTGTACCATGTTTGCCGTCTCCATCACGACATACAGGTACGTCTTATTGCTTCCATGTCCGAGCTGGTAGGATACACCATGTCGTGGACCATGACCCCTTTTGACAGAGAGGTCCACTTGCGTGGAAAGGCGCTGGAGGGTGTACGAAGGAGAGATGCTGAAGACATGGATAAGGTCGGCGCTCAGGTCTGGAGCGAGCAGGAAGGTTTTTGTTAGGTCGATGATGGTTTGGTGGATGTGGGGATTTATTGTATCGTTTGTGCCTGGTTTGTAAATAGGGGTTTGAAACGTGAAGGTAATTTCTTGGACTATGTCGAGGGAACCCTGCTGCTTAGATATGTCGATGATGGTGATTCCTGAGCCGCCGCTATGAGAGATATATCAATTTTCCGAATCAGAGAGCAAGGCATGGTGTGGTAAGACTTACTAATTCGCCAGTGCAAGGACAGATCCATTGCCGTAGATCTTTGAGTAGACGCCGCCGTTCAAGGTAGTAATTTTATTGAATCTGACGAGGGACCCATTTCCTGCTGCGCCTCCAGTCCCGAACGAACTGAATGTCGCGTTGGTCGGATTTGGGAAACCCTCATCGGCGCAGTAGAGAGTGGAGGTCTTTTGGTCGAGTTCGAGCCAGGAGGGGTTCGATGCGCAGCCATCTGTAGAAGAGATGGCTGTCAAGGTCAGATTACCCTTTTCTCCTTCCTTGGGGGCCACGGTCACGATGGTGATGTTTCCTGAGTATGACGAGACATAGATTTTAGTTGCTTGGGAAAGAGTTGAGAGCGCAAGTGCACTCAAGAGTCTAGTTTGGAATCTCATGGTGTGAGAGTTTGTTTGGTATTTGGTTGTTGAAACTGGGGAGCAGTTGAAGTTGCTGACAGTTTTGATTCACACTCGGTTTGGCGGGTTGAAGGAGGTAGGTAATTCAGTGTTGCCAGTTATTGTGTTGATGGGTGGAATCCTCGAATGAAGTCACTTGCATATTTGAATGTTCCACTAATTGCACACAGTGTGTCAAAAAAATAATTAAGGTAATTAATTATATTTAATTAAATCAAGTAAATAATTAATTATAATTTGATTATCGACTTTCAAAAAAAAATTAATTATTAGAAAAATTATAATTAAATATAATTAAATATTTCTAATTATTACGTGAAACCCATATAAAAGTTATATAAGTAATAAATTCTCTTCTTTTTCTTTAAATAATATATAACTAAAGTATAAAGAAAGTAAATGTTAATTGATTTCCAAAGAAGAGAGAAGGAAAGCAAGGTAATATATATGTGAATTATTTGCTCTGGATATTATACGACCGCACTTACATAACTAGAGAAGTCAAAATCCTTCCTATAGTACTTATTTACAAAGATAAGTAAAGCGAGTAAAGGCGGGATACTAGCTATTAAGCCTATAATAGTAAGGCGACATCTAAATTAGGGTAAAATATGCTTTACTTTTGTATTATAATACTTATATTATCTTTATAATTATATATAGTAATATATAACCTAGTAATTAATTATATTTAATTAAATTAAGCAAATAATTAATTATAATTTAATTATTACGATTCTGACTTAATTTGATTTAATTACTGGCTAATAATTATAATTAATTAAATTATTTAATATATTAATTATATATGTGTTCCAAAAATAATTACAAATTACTAACTCACTTATTATAATATTTCAAATCAGATTAGATAATGCGAGTATAAGGCATTGCTTTTAGAACCCCTAAACGAAACCCGACTATAGCCACCCCTTATTTTCTAATAGAAATATAATAAAACTAGGTAAAATATAGGAGTATATTAAGAAGTACTTCTTTTTATATACTTTAGAAGAGAAATACGATTTTTGTCTTTAATTTGAGAGAGTATAATAGTAATAGGCTCGCTAAGGAATACTATAAGTAGTACTGCAAGCTCTTATACCTTCGTTATTATAATCTTATATTTAAAGACTACTTACTACTTCCTTTTATTATCCGGAGAACTCGTAGTATATTAAAGCCCGATATTAGTTTATTATCTAGTATTAACTTGAAATATTAAAATAAGTTACTTTTTCTATTTCACTAGATCCCGTAATACTTAAACTAATAGTATCTAGTATAATAGATAATAAATATAATTATTAAGATATACTTCACTTTATATATATTAGGGCCAATTTTAGTACTAATACTCTATAATTCATAGAGACTAATACTATTAGTAGTCTCTATTATAGATAATAATACGAGATACTATAGATAATATACTAGTTTAATTATATATTTCCCTTATGCGACTCACCTCCTCTATAAAGAGCTAAAAAAAAATAAGTCAATTTTCTTATATTACTTATATGTCTTAGTAACGAAATATATAAATTAACTTATTATATAATACCTATATTTGGATTATAAGGGAATTATAAAGAACTACCTTTAAGTAACTATTATATACTTGAAATTAACTTAATAAACTTAAATATTAGTATGAAAGTTATATATATATAATAAATCCGTATACTAGTATATAGCTATCTATTACTTCCTGTTTATTAATACAAGCAATTAGTTAATTGGGGTCCCTATTACCTAATTACAGGCTCTAATTACTTAATTACTTACTTAAGCAAATTCTGGTTTATAAATATAAAGTCAAATACAAGCAAATTTTTAAAATACTAAAATATTTTAACTTTTATAAATTATTAAAATCCTATTAATATAATCTATTAGAAATAGTTTAGTTAATTATATTAATTAAATAATATTAGCCCTAATCTTTTATTATAACTCTAAAACCTTTTTATTATAATTTTAATATAAAATTATATAAAATTATCTATATTTTTTAATCTTTAATAGAATTTAATCTATAAAAGATTTATTTGAGTCTCTTATAAGTATTAATTCTTTTTATTTAATTAAATTTTAGCTTTTATTCTTTATTAAAAAGTTATAAATTATTTTAAAATCGGGCTCTTTTATTATAGTTATTATAATATATAGTACTAGTAGGAATTAGACTAGAGCTAGTTAGGTATCTGGTATCTAAGTAAGATATCTAGTATCTAAGTAAAATATCTGGTATTTGAGTAAGATATCTAATATCTAAGTATAGTATCTATAATTATCTAATAGTTATATATAACTCCGAGCTTAAGCTAGTATATAAGCCTATATATAGCTTGTAATTATTTAGATTCGAGGCTTCTTTAAGATTCTCTTCTCTCTTTAGCTTTAAATTATTGAAATAGAAATAGTCTAACTATACTTTTTAAGCCTTAGATCTTATACTTATAATATAATTTAAAGCTTACTCACTTCTTAATTCTATAAAGAATTTTAAATAATACTTATCTAATTAGTTTTTAATAAGTATAAATATAATATACTATAGCTATTTCTATACTAGTTAATTAATATTAGAATAAAAGAAAGCCCTAGAATAACTAGGTAAGAAAGCTTTAGACTAGCCAAGCAAGCAAATAGGCTAGTAATCTTATTACTAAATAAAGACTTATAAGAAAGCAAGTTCCGGAATAACTAGGCAAGTCAGAAAAAGCTATAATATAAGATACTACTAGTATATTACTAGAAAATAGACTAGAGTCTCTTATTAAGTCTTCTAGGGAATTCAAGTATTTTATTAATACTTATAGTAAAAGAAATACTTTTTTTTTAGAGAGCTAAGAAAAAAGAAAGATCTGTTCTATTAAAGGCAGACTTCTAAGAGTTACTCCGGAATCCAGAAGCTTTATATAAGGAGATTATTAAGCTAATTCTAAAGATATATAATATTCTTGCCTATAGCAAGAATTATTATAATTAGCTAAAAGAAATCAAGCAAGCCTTATAAAAGAATAAAGCTATTATTAAGAAGCTTATAATATAGCTTACTAGAATAACTAGTTTCCTGACTTTAGAAAATAGATATTTAGTTAAATTCTCTAATTCTTCTATTTTCAAAAATATAACTAAAGATAGTATTACCTTTAATAATTAGTTAGTTTAGATTAAGAATAAGCTTTATAATAACTCTAATACTTATTAAATAGAGAATCTCAAGATTATTTATATTTCCGGCTATATTAATAGCTATATTCTTATATTAATCTCTCTTTACCTAAACTAAAATAATTAATATATATATAAGATTATTAGAGAATTATATATTTATCTAGAGAAATTATATAATAACCCAAATAAGAAATATAATACTTAATAAGTCTTTAAAAAGCTATTTATAAAAAAGAGCCAGATTTTTTAGAAGTTTTATATTCTATTTCTAAAATATATAATAGATAGAAATATTAATCTATAGAACTTTAAGAATAATCTAAATAATAAGCTTATCTAGAAGCTTTAAAAGACTATAGCTATATACTATAATAATCCGGCTATCTATATTATAAAGTTTATATAATATTATATTATAAATAACTAGTAAATTCGAGCTTGCTATAAAAAGAAAAACTAGATATTTAAGAAAGCTAATAAAAGTATAAATAAGCCAAGCTTAGGAAGCACTTCTTATATAAAGCCTACTTTTAAGACTCTAGTAATAAATAAGTTTATTACTTTAAAGTCCGGATTTTTAAATTTTAAATATTATAACTATAATAGATTTAGTTATATATCTAGAAACTATCTAGAGCTTAAGACTAAATATATAAAATAAGTTTTAGTAGCCAAGCTAGTAGTATTTACTATAAGTAAGTTATCTAAGAATATAAAGTAAGGAAATAAGAACTTCTAAAAAAAGTCTTTTTTTAGGGCTATATTATATAGATATAGTAGAAATTAATTTAAGCTAGCTACTATAAGATAAAGCATTTATATTTCCTTATATAATTAGTAATAATAAATTAGGTATTAAGACTTCTTCTTTTATTAATACTAAAGTAAATAAATATACTTTTATTAATTTTAAGTTTATAAGAATAATTAAATAATTTCTAGATATTAAGTCTATTTAATTAATATTATTCTATAATATAAGAGAATTTAATAGTAAGTAAACTATATTTATTACTTATTATATTAAGCTTATATTCTTAATTAATAGACGGAAAGTTTTAGTACCTATACTAGTTATAGGGCTAGATAAGTATAATATAATTTTGGGATAATAGTAGTTTATAAGTACTAATATTCTAATTAATTATAAGAATAAAAGGTTAATCTAACTAGATAATTAGCTTAGAAAAAAGAGTTAGGATAAGGTTCTAATTACTATATATAAGAACTTGAAATCTAGAAAAAGCGACTAGTATTAAGAAAATATAAATAAAAGAAATAAAGCTATAGCTATAAATAAGTTCTAGAGATTTTAGCTTATAAAGAAGAAATCCCCTTATTCTTTTTCTAAGCCGAACTTAGAAAGCTATATATAGTAAAAGAATTAAGCTTAATACTATAGAGAAATATAAGTAGCCTTAGGAAATATAGAAGTTTTTTCTAAGCTAGAAATAGAAATATTAAGCTATATTATTTAAAGGAAAGCTATAAGAGCTAGTTAAGGCCTATAGTTAATATTATAGGTATTTTACTAGCTACTTTTTAGATAAATCTATAGAAAAAAAAGAATCTTTTCTTTATAATATTATTCTTTAAGATTAATAAAAAGCTAGAATTATAATAAGAGAACGAGTTTATTTCGAGTAAGTAATAGTTAGAAAAGACAAAGCTATAGTAGCTAGTAAGAGTTTTACTAGAGGAATTTAAAGATTTTATAAATATTTTCTTAAAAAAATATTAAATATTTTATTCTTATATTAATTATATAATTATAAGATTTAGATTAATAATTCTAA